AAGAATCTGATGGAAATTTTGGCTAATCTTTACGGAATTGAAATTAAATAAACAATTCATAAGCAGTTTTGATTTTGCCATATAATGTTTGATTGATTATTTAATACTGGCTTATATTTCATCAGCTTTGTTATCTTCAAATTTTGCAAATAGGGCGCAAAGAGGTTATAGAGCCCCCTGGGGTAAAAAAGGAAAATACAGATCACCTGCGAGCGAAGCGAGCAGAAAATTTGGCAATTTCGCCCCTTAGATTAACTTAAAATTCTTTTTCAGAACGATTTCTTGGAGTAATTTTGACACGTTCAACGGTTGTCGATCATCCAACAAAAGCCCGAATTTTCCGATGACATCGCTGATTGGGGGGGGGAGGGCGAGCCCCACCAAACCCCCATAATTTCCGCCACGGGGCATGTTGATACATAGACTTTAGGTTATTTCTCTTTTATTTGCACTTTATGATTTTAAGTTTATTTTTGTTTTTTCTGCTTCCACATTTTTTCTTCTTTGTGTATCTATTATTCTTCTCATACAGATATTCTTTTGTGTTACACATATCATTTGAGCCCCCGTGAGACTTGCACTGCCATCTACTTTAGCAGCATCTTCTCCTGTTCTTTCTTTTAACTCTCCCAACGAATTACACTTTCAACAATAACTACTGTAATAGGCAATTTTCTTTAACCTCCTCATTGAATTGACATTATTGTACCAACTCTATTGTATTTACTCTATTGTATTGATTTTGTATATGTTAGCTCCATTTGATTTGTAAAGTATTACTGATGAAGACGAAAAGTTTAAGAAATAGTGTTTTTTTCTGAATATCTATATTATTTTCAATACACTTGGTGCATGAGCTTTTGAAAGTATTTATATATTTACATATATATATATCATAGAGTTGAAGAAAATAAGACTACATGATTTATCTCTACAAGCCTGTTTCGTTATGGTATATCACGCCCCTGAGCACTGTGCTACGGAAGTATCAAAAGACCAATTTCTACATATATATATATATGTATGCGTTCCCCTCGACCCACCACACAGTGTATTCATTCTTTGTACTCAAAAAGGAGGAGGAATTCAATAACACAAGGAGGATTAGCGAAATGGAAGGACATGGTTCTAGGAAAGGAATCTCTACTAAACAGAAATTCTTCTGGTCGCCCTCTACAGTAATTTTTTTCTAGTTAATTTTCTGTCAGTATTTGCAACAGATAGAAAATAAAACACCGTTATTGAATTTCCCCATCCAATGCCCTTGACATTTCTGACATTTCTACAGAAATTTCACTGACTTGCAAAAAGAACATTATATATCAATAAACAGGGACGGATCCAGCAAAAAACCTGACTGAATTCCAGGCCAAGGCCAGGGACTTTCAGATAATGCATTTGTTTTGCTCGCAATTTGTTGTTTTGCCTCTGTAGACACCAGCCTATTCATCAAAATATGTTGTTTCGTCTGAGCATAGGTTTTCCTACCCTGGGTACCAGACTCACTATATATGAAATAAAATAGAGAGTCTGGTCTAGTGCGCCCCATTCGCGTTCTGGTGTGCTGATATTAACCAATCAGGAGCGAGTGTACAGATTTCTGTACGTTCAAAGGTCACAGCGAAACAATAAACTTAGCTCTGATGTAAAAGATTGAACAGAACACAACATAAATAAATGCTAGCGACTGTAACGATTTAGTTTGAAGATGCTGTTAAAACTGTACTCAAAGAATATTTTTCGCATGTTGTGGAACTGAACACAGAACAGCATTGAAAGCCTTGTTTGTAAAGAGGAGGCACCTTCGCCATATTGCCAACTGGCTTTGGAAAGTCTCTGATATTTCAGGCTGTGCCTCTCGTTGCAAAGAAATTAGGTCTTGTAGTGAAATGCAGTAGATAAGAAACACCGCAAGGCGCCGAGAACAAACAACAACAAACACAGTTAATCAGTTATAGCTAATATTTCGCCTGGCATACGGGGCTTCGCTTGTCGTATTGCCCATATTTGCTGTGGCGAATTTCCAACGTGATGATTCTAACCGCCACGGTGTCCAAGCGCGCTGCCTTCACAGTGAGGAAGTAGACGTTCAAAGCACACACAATTTATGAGAAAATTACAAAAGACTTATTTCAAGTTGTATACGAAATTTGATAATGATTAACATTTAATAACTGCATTGTGCTAACTTTAATTTCATGCTTCGCACATGTTTTTTTGCTGCCAAATGGCGTTTTAAACCTGATTTGATTGTTATCTTGAGGCAGAAAAGTCTATTACCACTGTATTAAAAATGTCGACTTTAAAGAACTAAATAAAACACATTTGCTTTAAGATTTCCCAAAACTCATCTGACTACTGAGTTTCTTTGTTATTTATCTGACAGTCTTGTTTCACAGGCCTAGTCTGTTAAATAGACTTCAGTTCTTTTAAGTAAGTTCATCAGAACGAGAATGGGGCGCACTAGACCAGACTCTCTATTATTTTATATAGTGAGTCTGGTACCCAGGGTAAGGTTTTCCGTGCCATCAAAGATTGCAATTTAAAGCAAAGGTAGTTAACACTCCTGGAAAATTAACGATACCTCCTGGTTTTATCTCAAATGTTTAATAATCTGCTAGAATGCTGCGATGGTCGTGAGTATAAGACATCTGCAGTCGCCATTTCGAATTCAATGTTTAGACAATAGAACACAATAGAACAGAAACAATAGGTAGCCAATCAACTACGGGCCATTTTACAGTGTACAGTGTCCTAAAAACTACCTTCGGATGCTAGGTAGAAACAAAATACAAAAAAAACAAACAAAAAAACAAAAATACAGCTCTCTTACAAATATGGTATCATTTCCGAGTTCCAGATGCTATTTTGACTGAGTTCCATCCGTGTTCCAAACAAAAAGTTTATTGTTTCAATTCATTCACTTCCGAGGCACAAAACGTTTATTTCCGAGTTCTAGGATTGACTGCTGTTGTCCTCCACAGCGTCTGGAAAATCATTTCCAAATCACGACAGAGAAGAAACTGGCAGTATTGAGATTTTGAAGAGACTGTGATTAAACTTAGAATATTTAGGTTTCAATTTTTTAATTTAAATATTACTTGTTTCGGGCATATTACTTTAAATATTACTATTTTTAGCTGTATGTTGAAAAACTGACTGAGTTCTGTGCACCAAGGAACTCACTCTGGGTCCGCCTCTGATAAAAATGATTAATAACTTGTTCAAATTGGCGCTTGTGATTTCGCTCTGAAGTTCTTCCCTGAATGAGGCCGCTCTGTTTTATTATTGCGCTAGTTGCCATAAGCTTCGTAGCAAATATGGGAAAATTTTCCTGTGAGTCTTGCAATTCTAGTCCGAAGGGCTAAACGCCATTTGTCTAGCAAAGAAATGACAAACAAATATTTGCTTTAATATCATACCAATTGTATGCTCTCTCCAGCCAGTAGCAATGTGAAAATACAATAAGATTTCATGTGACCGATGTTTTGCTTGAAAAGCGATATTTGAATCCGGTTTTCTATAAGGTAATTTTTCGGCGCGAAGTGATCGCACGAAGAAACAGATAATCAAGGGCAGGTGGGGATTTCCATAAATGATCGTCTTAAGTGACTGACAAGAAAAGGCCTTTTGGACAGAGAAACTCTTTGGACAGAGATTTTTTAAAAGAAAAAATTAATAAGAGAACGAGCCTGAAAATGCGTCAAAATTTAAGAAAAAATCAAGAACAGGCTGAGTGCTGAGCCACTACTAAATGTAATTTTGAACAATGTTTCATCTCAAAAAGGAGGGAGTTTCTTGCCATCTAGGTGTGATTTTCCCAAAGCTGCTTGCCACAAAATTAAAAGCAAAATCTCATCAAACTTGAAAGTTCTAAATATCATCTTAAAAAACTTTTTAATTTTGCAGTGCAGCGCTGGCTGGTTTCTTTCCGTTCCTAAAAACGTGCTGGAGATGATTGAACGCGTCTCTGTCATGGGCTGTGTGCTTGTCGCAAAAGTTGCAGTTGCCTCAATGGTCGCTTAATAAACAATCGGCAGGAGAAATGCAAGGGCAGCAATGCAGTGTAAATAAAATGGGATATGTTAAACTTCCAAAAATTTCAGAAATATAGCACAAGTAAACTAATACTTTGACCCGGGTCGGGTAACGAATCTTTTTATTTTTATTTTTTTAGAATGGAAACATGTTCTAGCTAAATTTTAAACAGTTACAATAAGCTGATTGGTACCAACCAGCACAACAGCAACTAAATAGATGCAATGATAATTTTTTGATCTGAAAACTAACAGAATACCATCCATCATCGTTTCTATCCTCTATCATTTATTTTATCTTTGTAGCAATGTTTCGAAAGGTATAAACTCAGAGTAGCAATTTAGAACCGCCCTATTCTTTACGCCAAAAAGTCTGTATATATTTAGTGTTAATGAGATAAGATGCAGGGTTGCCAGATGCTTGGAATAAATATTTTACACTTGACGGCCAAATTCAGCCAGCCAAACAAAGTAATCAAAAAAGCTACATTTTTTGCTAATTCTGTGGAGTAATAGTGTAATCAAAAGTGGCTTTGTTTGTTACAAAAGCTCAAACTTGCTTTCAGTTTCAATTTTCTATGTTCCTTGCTTCGTTATTTGCAATTTTGAGATTATTTAAACGAAATGTTGAATATTGTATGTGCTAAAGTTGTAGTTTTCTTTGAATTTTTATGGCTTTCAACATGAGGCCAAAATTCGGCCAACTTTTGCTTTTTCGGCCAAATCAATTTTTGACGGCTAACAGCTTTGAAAAACGGCCAGAATTGAGGAATTTGGTCGTCAAAACGGTCAAATGGCAACCGTGATAAGATGCAAAATCTATCTATGCGATGCCATATGGCCTACATTGGCTATATACGGGATGCATAATTTGCAGGAGCACGGAAATGTGATTTGTTTTATTAGTCTTTTAAATATTTCTAGACTGTTAACATTCCCTTCTTTTTCCTTCATCAAAAACAGGTGATATTCTGGCGAAGTCGTAATGGACCGGTATGACCCTGGACCGGAGTAATAATTGTCCGGAGGATCTTGAACAATTGCTTCGCTTCCTTGGCAGTACGAAGGAATTAAACTTTTGCAGCTAAAGAAATATATTCACAGCTTTTCGTGGACGCTAGAGAATTCTATGCTTAGGTTAGATCTATTGACTATAGCGGGAAGCATGTTTTGTTGATTGCGGAACTTCACTTCACACCTGTAATACTATTAATGATGCATGAGAAAGGCCGGGGTGAAGTTTGAGTGTTTACCAGCTATTCTTGCGTTAACCTCAATGCACTGTAGAACAGAAGCCGTGTAGGAGCTTGCAATGTGTTTACATCTGTTTGATCGCTGTCATGCATTAGCATCCTTTCCTTTACCTTTGAGGTAATAACATACAAATTTACGAATTTGAAAACCTTAGATAATCCACTGGCTTGCCTGAAATATGGAGCAAGAGAACTTTGAATGTATTGAAACAATGCCATCACGACGTGCCAGAAGAAATTCGTTCCGGAGGACACTAATCAGAAGAAATGACACCCTGGCTGTTCCTGAAAGAAGAAGACCAGTCCATGGCCTAGGTAAGAGCAGTAGGACGTACCCTGTTCATTTTGCAGCTATGACAGGGAACTTGAAGGAAATCGAAAGACTGGTTAAGTCTGACATCATCAAGAAGGTTATCAGTAGCATCGACCAAGACGAAATGACCCCCCTCCATTATGCAGCCAGAAACGATGACTGCTATATGGCATCAACACTGCTCACACATGGTGCTATTCTGGATTGCATTACCAAACGGGGCACACCGTTACAGATAGCAATGAGGTACCATTCTGTTGTATCTTTAAAATCATCAAATTTTTTGAAACTTTCAATGTGAATTTAAACTTTTGTTGGAAAAAAGTTTGATCTACATCTTTTTTACGAAAGGATGAAATAAGGGATGACAACTACAGTGTGCAAACAGTTACAAAAGGTTTTTTATCAAGTTTACCTATTGCACGAAAAATTGCAAATTCTTGTTGAAACTCCTGCTTTTGTTAAAAAAACATAATTTCAATAAATCATCGCAATTTTCGCTCCTTCGGTTCTCAAAGGACAGCAAGAAAACAATCCAATTTGAGTTTCAAAATACCTTTAGGCCAAAGACAACGCTTGCTTTTGTTCTAAGTATGAATGAATAACGATCGAGTTTTCTTCCATTATTCTGCTAATACATCATGTTAAATAGATTGTAGTATTTTCACTATTTTGATAAATATTCTGTTAGCTTTTTAAAGCTGAGATCGTGGACTGCTTTTATCGAAACCAGTTGTGGTAAACCTTAGAAATAAGAGTCTATTCAAAATATCTTGTTGAAACACTGTTGAAAAATGACTTGAAATGTATATAATATTACTGCTTACTTTACCTTGTAAATTCATTTGTTCAAATTTCTTGCTGGCCCACTCAGGGAAGTTCTCAGTTGGTAATACACATTGCATGCCCCTATTTCTGGTTGACTTTGATATGTTTGTTTGTCGACTTTATAGCCTAGAAAAAATATTTGCTTTTTAGCAATCTTGAGTGCTCTGCAGTACATAAACTATTTTTGTTGTTCTTTGTAAGATACCGTAAAGCTGATGTCTGCTTTCTGCTGCTGCGCAACGGTGCAGATGTGGAGCTCCAAGACCATGATGGCATGAACGCATTGCATTTAGCTGCAGATAACAGCCTTTCGGATGTTGCGTTAAAGCTCGTAGCATCTTTTATGGTGGATGTCAATTCTAAAGATTCGCAGATGAACACTGCCTTGCATTACGCGGCAATAAACGGCAGTGTTGCCATTTGTAAGACTCTATTAGAATACGGGGCTACAGCATATCTTTGCAACCATAGCAAGGAAACCGCCCTTCATCTTGCTGCGGCGGAAAATAACCTTGAAATAATCACGGCGCTGCTAAATATCGGTAAGTGCTTTGCTGTTTCAGCCTGAAGTTTTCTGACAAAAAGTGGCAGCTTTTCAAAAAAAGGGGACATGGTCCTGTCAGAGTACCCAATGTGTGGATGTATTATAATTACTGGCCAATAAACGCCAATTTTTTGTTGCAGATTTCTCCTCGACACCTGTAACAAAAATTGCTTTTCTAAATATGAAGAGAAACGACGAGAAGACAGCGCTGCTTTTGGCTTTTCGAATGGGACACTTAGAAATAGCGAAGCTGCTAATCGAGCATGGCGCCGATTTACAGGCAGAAGCAAGCGGGAACAAAACCGCTCTCCATTTTGCAGCCAAATCCGGCAACGTAGAAGTGGTAACGTTCTTGATGGAACATATGTTTCCCACTGATGTACAGGACAAGAAAAAGAGAACGCCGTTACATTAGTAAGCTCTTCCTTTTTTGCATAGAACAGTGGAGATATATTTAAGATTAGGCGCATGGAAAGAATTCGGGTAAAAACACCAGAGAACGAACGTAAACCGACATAAAATATACGGATATTTTTTACTTCTAAAACAAGATTTACAGTTGCCCCCTGTCCTGATGGGCATATCCCCCCTGATAAAGATTGTACGTAAGGACGTGTCAAAACAGCTTTAGAATTTTAAGAAAATATACTTGCAAAATTGAATTCACAAGGAAAGCTTTAGATTCTTCAAAATGGGGAAAAGCATTTTAAAGATGGTTTTTTTTTTCATTTCAGTGCTATATATAACGGAAACAGCGAAGTAGCCAGGCTTTTGCTAACAAAAGGAGCTTCGGTAAACGTGAGAGACTGCCTCGGAACCACCCCGTTGTTGCTAGCTGTGGAAAAAGGCAATCATACATTGGTATTGTCTCTCTTAGAGAGTGGCGCAGTTTCTTCAGACCAGGACAACAAGTTAAAAACAGGTCTTCATTATGCAATAGAAAAAGAAAGTTTTCAGCTGGTAAATTTGCTCTTAGACGATTGTAAAGAGCTGATCAGCAAAAAAGATGAAGAAAATCGATCTCCTTTGCATTATGCTGCTGAATCTGGATGTGCCGAGGCAAGTTTCTCCATTTACGCTCATCTAGGGGCTAGGTTTATAAGTTTTTCATCTTTTACCCAAGTTGCCTCAAACCAGTTTTTCTTCTGGCAATGATTTTCAGAATAAATGTCACGAAATTCGCAAGGTGTGCATGCTGGGAATACCAAGTATTGTTTTTAGGGGCATGTTCTAATTCAAAGTAAAGAGTCTGTGTGTCATGTGACAATTTTTGAGGATTTCGAGCAAAACACTTCAGTAACCACCCCCTCCCCCTCCCCCTTTAATATATCTTTACATCGCCGATGGTCTCTGTGATATCTCTTTGCTTCCACTCATACGATACATTCCAACTTATGTAATGAGCAAGTCAAGAAATACTGTGAGATGATATTGTTTTCATGTAGCTTATATTGAACTGCACTTTTGTTTAGATTCTGAAGTACATTGTGGAAAGGACTATGCAATTAAACAAAACCAACAATTTCGGAGAGGCACCTCTTCATATTGCTGCAAGCCTTGGCCATGTTGACTGCATTGAAATCCTAGCAAACGATAGAAATGGTGAATCGATCAATTTTAGAAATCGTGAAGGTCAAACTCCACTACATTTGGCGGTCATCCACAACAAACCGTATGTAAAATACATATTGCTGTAGAAATGCTTTAGATTTATTTAAATAAGGATTCTATAAACAACATCCTTTCATTAAAAAGTAAATGTTCAAGTAGCGACCCCTAGTTGCTTGTTTCTAGTTGTTCGGAAAGACTTTGGACAATGTTTAGACATTCAATTTTTGAGATTTCAATCCCACTGAATGCCAAACCGACGTCTTGGGCTGTTGATATCAGTGGCGTCGTCAGCTCGAAAAACTAGGGTGGACAAAAGCAAATTTTCTCGGCCACGCCCCTCAAGCTATTGGAATATCCTTTTTTAGTATTTCTATCTATTTTGAAATTTTTGGACAAGCAACTTTCTCAGGCAGCATTTTTCGTAACGGTGGCCTTTTTGCCAGTACGAAAATCGAAATCAATCTGATCGGCAAAACCTTTCAAAGTGCCTATGTTGTCCAAGGCGAACGTTTTAAAGCTCGTTTCCTAATGTCTTTTCAAGTGATCTGTAATGTAACATAATTCTAGCTGATGGCTGTTGAAGAATTTTGTGACGCTTCAATTAAATTTAGGTCTTTGTTAGGACTGGTAAAGGTAGGTATTTGGTCATTTTGTTATTTTCGAAAACGGAGAAGAAGGAGACACTTTATACCACAAAAACGTATAATCCGGTAGGTAATCTTCACCAAATAGTGGAGACACGTTGATCATCTAACTTGAAATGAATGAAACGTTTGACAACCATGGCTGTGTTCGATACTACAGAACACCTGAATCTCTGATAAACCATGATTTTTTATTTATTTGCTCAATTCAAGGTCTGTATGTTTAGCATTGTTGGAACGAAATGCAGCAGTAGACCCCATCGACAGTAATAATTGGACACCATTGCAGTATGCTAGCTTTTATAACAACGTGGAGATTGTTAGAATCCTTTTACAGTGTGAGGCCAGCTTGAACTACGCAGATTGCTGGGGGAGCACTCCGTTGATGATAGCAGCTGAAGCAGGAAATTCAGACACGGTGATACTGCTATTAGAAGCAGGGGCCAGTGTAGTGGCAACGAACGAAGATGGAGACAATTTCTTCGATCTCGCCCTTGACTGTCACAGAGAATCTGTCGTCCAAAAGATTTTGGAGAGTAGCAGGTGTGAAACTTTTGCAATTAGTATAATGATCGTCCAGTTTTACTGTTTTGATACAGTCGAAGAGAAGGCAAAATGCAGTCGTATATCGAATGCTCATTTCTAGGAACAGTGCCCCTCGAAAAATGCTCTAAGCTTTTATTGTTTACTAAGAAAATATCAAAGCAGATGAAATGTTTAGGGAGAAGTATAAAAGGAAAAGAATTTTAGAATTGGGGCATTGTGAGTAGATACTGTTCACTAATAATGAAAAGTTAATGGAAAGGGTTAGAGTCATGGTATGCCTAGATAAAAAGGTAAAATCTGCGTAGTTTGGCTGTAGAGAATAAAAGGGGCAATGTAAACATTGGGATCGCAACGAAAAAGAACAAAGAGATGGATTTTTTCTTCAAATTGAGCATCCTAGAATTTGCTATGTCGAAGAAAGAAAAGACTTTTCAAGAAAAGACGGTTCTTCTCCAGAAAATAAATTTTTGGTTTTGGGATACTCAACTGATCACTATGACTTTCTAATATAAGCCATGCTTAGTATCTCTTCATTTTACAAATTTGGAGAAGAGGAGAGTGGAAGCAGCTACCACCCACCCCCCCCCCCTTCTCCCACATTTTCTCTCAGCAAAAAACGATCGACCGAAAGAAATCTAACGTTCGAACAAATTGAAAAAAGCTTTGATTAAGATTATTCTTATTTGTGCTTTGATTGAGAAAATGTTTCAATGTCGATAAAAAATTGTTTCTTCGCAGATGGCGGCAAGCCATTTCAAGTAAAGATGCCAATGGAAGCCACTTCATGACAAAGCTTATAGAAAGGTACCCAAGTGCTGCTGAAATAGTATTGAATCGCTCTACCTCGTTTTCAGATCACCATCCTGAGCATCCGGATTTCACAGTCACCTTTGACTACGTTTTCCTCGAAGAGGTTCCTGGAAGTTTATCTATAGGGGCAGATTTCGTCAAGATATTTTCAAAAAATCATGGTGTACCTTACTTTGCTCCTAAACTGATGTCCAAGTTCGGCCGTGAACAACTGATGCAGCATCCAATTATTACGAGCTTGCTGTCCTTGAAATGGGAGAGACTTTGCCGCTACTTCTACTACTCGCGATTCTTCGTCTACCTGGTCTTCAACGTCTTCTTGAACGTAATTGTTGTTTTGGAAAGGAAAACGTGAGGATGAATTTTTAGGCTATATTTTATGCAATAGATAAGTCTCTCTCAAAGCCATATACGTTGCAAATATGTGTTGTAGAATTGTTTTGAGCATCGATGACCAGCAATGAACTTTTAGTTACTTTGAACTCTCTGATAAATGTCAGGTTATCCTTACAAAAATTTCAAATTTTTGAAAGACACAAAATCAGGGTATAAAGACTGCAAGTTTATAACAAGGATTAAATTAATTTTTGTAGTTTGGGTTCTCGAAGAAAGGCAAGTCTGGGGCTAAAAGGTCCTTGCAAGAACCCGCCTTGACGGATTCTCCAAGTATAATTACTAATTGCTGCATAGGCATCATTACCGAAATGGGCGACATGTATATAAAGATTGTCAAAGCCCCCAAACATCCTCCATTAAGGATTGTTTTAGCCCCAAACACCCCCATTAAGGATTGTCAAAGCCCCAAATGCCCCCCATTGAGGATTGTCCAAGCCCCCAAACACCCCATTTAAGATGTAAATCGAACAAATTTTACTCGATAGTGATACAAACACCATTTGTCAAAATTCAGAGCTCAATAGAGAGCAATACCTATTAATTTCAAAAATTTCAAATTTACAGGCAAAACAGAATAGACATAAGTAAAGCAAAACTCAACCGAACGAACGAGAGCTTTACTGGATTAGAGAGTGACTTGCCTTCAGCAAATAGTTACGGCAGAATCATGGGATTTGTTGTGCTAACATTCGCATTCTTGCAACTCCTGAATGAAGCTATGAAGATGGTAGTTTTTCGGCACAAGTACTTCTATAGGTTCGAGAATTATCTGGAGTTGACTTTATACATATCGACGATCGTTTTTATGGTGACTTTTCTATTTCGTCCCAGTACTGCAGAAGAGCCAGTGGTAACTGTTTTGCTGTGTATATTCCTGGCCTGGACAAACCACCTACTCTACATGCAAGTGCTTCCTTTTTACAGTTTGTACGTGGTCATGTTCGTACATGTGTGCATGACAGTCATCAAGCTACTGATCATTTTTGCAGTTATCCTCTTGGCTTTCATTTTGATATTCTATTTGCTGTTCATCAACCAGACAGGGTTTCAATCCACGAATGCAGTTATTGTTAAGATTCTCGTAATGATGACCGGCGAATTCGACTTCAGTAACTGGCTGGCAGGGAGCAAAAACACAGAGATTGACAACTACGCCGTACTACCGTATCCAGAAATGACCTATCTTGTTTTCGTGCTGTTCTTATTGCTGGTGACCGTAGCATTTACAAACTTGCTTGTAAGTATATGCTGGAAAAGTCTTACAACGTTTCAGATTAAAATCAGAAAAGGCATAGCCACAGGGGAAATGCAGGGGGTGGTAGGGCTTGAGTGCGCTAAAGTTGAAGTAACATTTTGTGGCTGCCTATAATTTTGCAAAATCAAACAAATTTCTACAAATAAAGATATTTTCGTAAGACATTGTGCTACGAGTTTTTCCTTTGCTCTTGTCAACCTCACTTTCCAATTTACGTTGGAGCCCTTGATTCTCCCTTGATCGAAAAAAATTTTGTTCAAATAACCAGCCCTAGCAACATAGGACGCGAACATGATTTTGGCTTTGGTCATTAGTTGCTGCAATCTATCTTAATTCATAAAGGTATTCTAAGGAAAATGATAAATCAAAACAAGAGTATGAGTAAAACTGGTCATGAAGTTTTTATTTATTGTTACTTAGAGACAGAATCATAATTTACTAAATCATTTTTAAGCCCAAAAATAAATAATAAAATATTCTCACACTCATAAAAGAAATTTTTTTCATTGCTAACCTCTCTTTATGTACCGAATCTCCCCTTATTATTCGGGGTCATTTTTTGGCACAAGCTAGATTGGGGGCCATTTCACCTCCAGCCCTGGCATTATTCATCTCTACAAGACAAACGCCCATCGTTTTCCTAAAAAGAGAGACATAGCCCCTAACTTGACGCCTCGTAGAAAAGCTAAGCTATTATTTATAAATGCTCATTCATAAACTTGTCTAATTGAACAATTATGTTTTTGATCAGATTGGTTTAGCCGTTGGAGACATTGAGAAAATACGATCATCAGCAAAAATGCACATTGTAAAACAGCAATTGCAGCTTATTGAAAGCATTCAGATGGTAGTTCCCAAGTATCTTCTGAAGAAATACATCCAAAAAAGAAAAATAGCTTACAAAATAAACAAGAAATCTAAGCTGCAAAGGTAAGACCTGAAAGATAGAAAAATGTTGTCCTTCTTTTTTCACTAGTCTGTGAAAAACCCCTGGCTCGCTTAGGCAAAGATTTTGCTTTTAAGACTTCTAAGTAACAAACCAGAAGGGCTGGGACTAAAGTTGGAATCTTAACTTGTTCTAGTGACCTACATATTCTTACTTGTATGCATCAGAAGACTCACACAAACCAGCAGCTGTATTTAATTTGAGCTAACAAAACACCTTTGTTACTTGTTAATGCCATGCACAGAGTGGCAAATTGTGGAGTCATAAGAATCTATTATTAGAAGTTTTCAGTTTGAATAAATGAATAAAAAGAGCACGGTGAAGTACCTCTAAATATGAAAATTCAGTTAAAATTGCTATAAATATTTTTTTCGAGATTTGGTCATTAGAAGATTTTATGCATTGTAATGGATATTGTTGCTATGGCTTGGTCCGTCAGTTTTAGAACAAAATACCATGGTGTGATTGCGAAAAAGCCATTGCCCGTGGGGCCATTTCTCAGTCAATTCGTAACAGATCTAATTGACTTTGCACATTTAGAGGTATCTTTTGGGTTTGATTTGTGCGATATGTTAAGAAAATTATAAAAAATGGATTCTTATGACCCGCAATCCCCTCCTAACTCATTTGATCACAAAACTCGTTTCGCCAGAGCCTATGCTCATATTAAAAATAGGTTATCTTAATCGGAGACGAAGTTGTTGAACGTCTGAGCATTGGATGTCTGGGAATTTTAAATAATCAACCTTCTTTATAAGTTATTTTAAATAATCAACCTTCTTTATAAGTTATTTTAAATAATCAACCTTCTTTATAAGTTAACGAAAAGCATTGTCCATAGCTGGGTGGTATAAGGTAGCTAGCAGAAGCATGGAAAGTAAGCCTAAGACATGACATTGGCGAAATCATCGTTAAAAAAAGTTCAGAAAATTTAATCTTTGTCACTACAGAGAAGATATGCGTATCAGAAACCAAGTACTGTCATTGCTGTTATAGCTCTTATATAGATAATGAAAATGAGATAAAAACTACATATCGTTGTCCCTCCTTTAGGTAGTAATTTTACACTGTATATCTGATATTCTTTATTCATTCTCATCTAAGGTTGATCGAAGAACTGACTTCAGACACCAGAGATCAAGAGCTGAAAAGGCTGAGGATGACGCAAATAGACTTCGAATCCTACAAGACGGTTTATGAGGATTACACATAATGGCAGAACTAGCCTTACTTCGCTAGAGAGTTGTCTTAAAACATACGCTTTTCCAATAGTTGCGTGACAGACAACCTGATTTGTTTTCTAAAACATAGAGTAACTTTCATGAAGTACCAACAATCCCGGACAAAAATAATGAAGACTTTTCAAGAACAAATGAAAGAACTACTAATCCAAAATTGATTCGGAGGAAAAAGGGGATTCGGATTTACATAGGCAAGAGAAAGTAGGAAGTTAAAAAAATTGCATTTTTTCTCAACATTTTTTCCAGGATTTTAGCTTTCCATTGCTGTGAACATATGGATCAGTAATTTTGCAACAAAGTATACATAATATGGGTTAAGCAAGTGATTAACTTTGTAAACAATACAATCTTTATAAGCATATATTGTTTGTATCTATACTTCTCTTTTATAATATCATCTTTATCATCTTTATAACTTTTGAAACATAGCAGATATATTTATCTTGTCGGTACAAAATTTGAATGTTGCTTTAAAAGAACAGCAAACATGTCGAAACATATCAAAAGCTTTTCGTTTGACACTCCTCCAGAAAGAGTTTGTTTTCTCTCTTGGGCTCCAGAAGTGGTTTTTCTATAGACACGCAGTACTGATTGCTAACTATACAGGTTATGTGCTGTCGATTTTCTGATTGGCCTATTTCAATCCACAATTGGGTATATATCAATCATCTTGTTCTTTCGAACCCTTATTCTGATGTTTTATACTTGAGGAGTGTCAGACGAAAAAGCTTGAAGTGTGCTATGAAATGTTTGCTTTATCGAAGCCATTTTCCATCAGATATCGTTTACAACCAGATTGTTATGCAAAATCCCAAGTAATTTTTCCAATGCCTCGTTTTTCATTTCCATTGGCTTTGCCAGTGATGCATCTTTTTCAATAAAATGATTGTTGTGGGTAGAATTTTCAAATAAGTAAAGTTGAATAGACGTTACAATCTTCGGGTTTGTTACCATCTGTTGTGTAAATTTCTGCATTTCTGCAACTTGTTTTGAATCTTGTATTCCGGTGAAGTGAAAGAAGTTGAATATGTAAGATAAAAGGGCAGTATTGGTAGAGCGCGTAGAATGTTTAATGATCTGATATGATTTGTTGGATAGAGTTAAATAGCTTATAATATGATTATTAAAGAACAAGACATAGGAAGTCAGCTGATGCCTGGCCGATGTTCAAGGTAATAATTTTTTCAAAGGCAGCTGCGAGAACCACGCTTCTTGCACTCCTGGAAGATTCAATACAGCAAAAGTGCATACATTGTCTCAATTTTAAAAGTAGCATGATTCTTTAAGTAGGAATTATTTATAGATAAACAAACGTTCTCGGATTAATAGATCAAGAAAAATTTTTGCATACAAGAATGCAAAGAGTCATAAATATTAAGACAAATATGGAAAACTTGCGGATATTCTATGGGCATATCAAAGACGAAAGACGATTCATGGAAATTATCGCACAGTTTAAAAATATTCCATGATATTTCGGGACAATTTGTTGAACTGGATGACGATACGCCTTCACAGGGACCTTTACAGTTTTTGAGTGCAAACCAAGGCAAAAAATATGAACTAGCAAACAGTATTTGAGCTGTATAGTATACCCTGTAAAACCCGGTTTCGCCTTCTGGAATTGACGGCTGCATTTCTCGCCATTCTATGGAGGCTTAATATCGGGGCTTAAAGCCACACAGTCGCAGGCGATGAAAAAGTCGATGAAAGATTTGACGCCGAAGAAATTTGACTTTTCCTTATCTCATTCTGGTCATCGACAACAGGGATACTATTTTGAAAATATACCTTTTCAATGTACATTTTTAAAATGAAATATTTCCAGACCGTTGTCGCAATCATTTACATTTTTCATTACATTCGACATATTTTGTTGTAATTGTGATGATTTTTTGGAAGAAAATTCTGTAATTGAGCATTGATACGGTAATATGGTTAAAGTGTTGTTTACGTTTTATGGCTTAAAATATTGAATCTCATTCTAAGGAAAATCGAGTGAGTTTTATCATTTGATGTAGCAGGGTTTTGTTGCGGAGTAAAGTGATTCTCGGCAAACAGTATGCTGAAGATTTTTACGCTGAAAGAATTTCGGAAATTGCTTCATTCGTTCTGGAGATATCGGCGATTTTTTCGAACATAATTCTGGTCATTTAAAACAGGGATACCATATGCGAATACACGCTTTTTTATAAGGAACCTACCTCAAGGCCTAGTTCCAAAAGTTCCTTATTCGTAGACCTCAAATCATCAAATTGTAGTACCAAAAGTTCCTTAATTTGTTTTGAATACAATAAGCCTTAAAGCCCTGGTCAAACGATCCAACATATCGCCCAACATGGTTCTGGGTGAAATGTTGGATCGTTTGACCACCTTGTTGGGTCACCCAACATCGTATATTTCGATGTTGGACGAAATTTGATTAAGGTCAAAAATGTTGGCTGCCGACGTCCAACAATTATTTTGTTTTGAAGTGTTAAATGAAATGTTGGATCGTTTGACCACCTCAGCCAACATTGTTGGCTCTGCGCATGCGCAGTTGGCTAAAGAGCGCCAAAATTCCATCATCGCATCGTTGTTGTTTTCTTACGCTGGTTTCGTTCGTTCCAGCAATCGCGTTTGCTTACAGGTTACACTTAATAATTATGGGCAATATAACGTATTCTGTGCGAAAGAAGAGGCATCAAGCGTCAGTGAAATAACTGTAGCCCAGAGGAGCTACAAGAAAGTGCAGGGGGACGAACTTAGGCCACAGCCTTGAAAGGGGATGCTGCGATATTGGTCTTGAAAGACCGCGATGACAGTGAAAATATCTAAAGAGATAATAAAAAGATCGAAATGTCGCGAAACTGTGCAGCCTTTTTCCTTTTTCGATCTGCGCGTGAAAATGTTGGGTGAAATGTTTGATGAAATGTTGGATCGTTTGACCAGGGCTTAACACTTTAGAAAAAGGGGCGAGACAGCATATGCGGAAACTACTCAATGAAGCACTTGACACACGAATGTTTTATTCGTTTTTAGAAGTATAAGTTCTTTAAATATTTCGGCCTTCTACATGTCCTTATAATGTAGTTCCTAAATGCGTGTATACGTTGTGTCAAAACGAAACGTTTCCAGCTCGTGGCAGTGTGACCAGATCTAGCATATTATAATACTTTCAGCATAATATTGACCAAAAATTGTCATTTAGCATAAAATCTAGCATAATTTGGAATCTAGCATAACTCTGGCATAATTTTGATAGTTTTTAAAAACTCGCTGTTTCCATTGATCTGTTGTCTATCACCACCAAATGGAAACACTTTAAACAAGAATGTGTGACTTTCCACTTTCAGGATTTAGCCAGATGTTTGGAAAGGTTGGCAGCCAAATATTTTATGGTTGGCAGCCAAATTCAGCCAGCTAAATTCAGTACACAAAAAAGCTAAATTTTTGACAATTGCGGGGAGTGATAGTGTAATCAAAATTTGCTTTGTAGGTTACAAAGCTTTCATTTACTTTTATCTTACATTGTCTGTTATCTTTTACGTTGTTTCATGTTTCTTTATTTGCAGTTTTGAAATCATTCTAAAACAAATTTGAACATCATCTATGCAAATAATTTATTTTCCTTTGCATTTTTTGTGATTTTTTGCAACATGCTGCCAGAATTCTGCCAGCTTTTGCTTCTTCGGCCAAATCAATTTATGACGGCCAAGGGGTTAAAAAATTTGGATGTCAAAACCATTAATCTAAATTGCCGTTTTGTGTAGAAAGGATGGCAATTTTGAGTACACTGTGTTTTAGATTGGGGGTCAAAAAGGCCAAATGGAAACTTTGGTCATTTTTTATATTCTGAGCATCCTCTAGCCTCTTTTACAAGCAGGGGTGCCTTGATTTGAAATTTAGCATAATTTTTGAAAATCTAGCATTATTTTATGACAAATTTGGCATAATTCCAAAATTGAGATCTGGTCACACTGGCTCGTGGTATCAAATATAGACATTTCTGATGACATTTTGCATGTTTTGTTCTAATATTAAAGATTTACGTCTCGAAGTGGCCTAACGTGGCTCGAAGTGGCCTAAAGGATCGAATCTCACTCTAGGGAAAATCGAGTGAGTTCTACCAGATAAAGATTGCTTTCGTTGTCAAGTAAAATCATTTCGGATGATTTAACTATTGTACTTATTTACGCAGAAAAGATTTTGAGAACTCCTTTTTGGATTTGGGAGATATCATTGATTTTTTCATGCAGTCCTGGTAATATGAAATTTGGCGGCGTGCTGGTAATCGCACGCCTTGAAAAGTTTAGGCGTGCGATGACGTGCGATCCATAAAATAGAGACCTGATGTGATCTTTGTATTAGAAGGTGTGTATCACTGTTTGAAAAAAACGTACAAGGTTTCCATAAAACCAAAAAGTATTTATGGAACTTTAGAAAAAGTTTTTTGAAAACAAAATAATTTAACAAAAAGAATACAAGTTTTTTAGGCCCTGTTATCATTTCTCCGTTAGTTAATATTCGTATGAGAACGGATTTGAGTGAATCTGTTTGAGATTTTGCGTTTCATTAATACTCTCAAAAACGGTGTCATCTGATACCAAACCGAATTTATTAAAAGAAAACGCTCTTCAAAGTGGAGTTATCCGAAACGGAATTATCATGAATACGCGGAATTATCATGAATCATCATGAATACATGAATACCTGTTTTCATGAAAGACTATCTTGTACCCAAAACAACAGGTCATAACCTTCGACTCAAAAAACCCCTTGACATTCCAAAAGCCAGAACTACCAATAATGGTATCAGATCATTAAGTTTTCAAGGGCCTAAAATCTGGAATTTACTCCCGGAATCAATAAAGACAGCACAAAATACTAGACAATTTAAGAATTTGATCAAACTTGGTTCCGTGAAAACAAGTGCGCATGCTCGTTTTGCTTTCAATTCTAAGCTTTCTTTTCAAAAAGGGTACAAAAGGAACCATTTGGACATCTTGTGGGCTTTTTTGATGTTTCTTAAAGTAGATCGAAAAGAAACATTTTAGGTCACCGCCCCAAAAGGTCACCTCTTTGCTCATTTCGTATAGCACCAAAGCAATTCAAGGGCACTTTCTGGTTATGCAGCTGCAGGGCCTCCCACTTTTTGCAAAACCATAGAACCTTTGAAATTTAAGAAACAATATAAATTTATTTTGTTATGATTGTTAAAATCTCCCATGCCCCCTCCCACTTTTCAACCTGCGTCGGAGTCCATGCAGTTGGCAAAAAGAGCAACTCGGTGAACTGCAAAGGGGCAGGTATCAACGAGAATTTATCAACGAAAATATTTTTGGTGGTCAAAATGGAAAATATTGACTTTCGTCTTGCATGTAAGGCAAGGCTGAGCTGCTGTAAAATGGTAATTTTAAACAACATTTTTATCTAAAAACGAGGATTTTTAGTCATGTATGGGTGCTTTTTCAGTTAATATTCAAACTTGACGGGTTTGGTACATAAAAACAACTTTTATTTAAACTAGTAACCACCTGTACCTACCGATATCAAAATGAACGAGGTAGTCAGAGGTGCTAAACAAATTAAAAAATACATGAATGATTATCACAATTCACTTAACAGTGTTTTTCCTCAACGCACCTACAGTATGTACTTTCATGTAATTAAATTTAGGACCTTTTCATTAAGTTCAAAGAATCTTGAAGAAACGGGAAATTTTCAAACGGCAGGAAATCTGTCCAGTTTTACTATTACCGGAAGTATTAACTCGCTTGATTATTTGACTCATGTCTATTTGTCTTTTGTTCATTGGTCCGAAGATTACATAGCTGATTACAGGTCGTTTCTCTATTCTGTACCTTTGGTCCGGCTTTTGGCATACTGTTAAAAGACCAAATACAAGTTCCGCAAAATTCGTAATGTCAGGAATCGAGTAGGCCATCCATATGCGAGAAGGTCAGAGTATCACAGTGACATTGACAAATTAATGGCGGCCCATTCGCGGTTTACCAGGTTGTTTCTGGGTGTCTTTCTTGGTTTGGTTGCAATTACCGGATTCGTTATCTATGAGAGTCTCCAGTGTGACTTTGAAGATGGACTAACTTACTACAAACTGCCAAATGGGAAACTCATAAAAAAGTTTGATCCGAATCAGGAAATAGAACTATTCACTACCTTGTCGCCAAAATGTGATTTTGAAAACGAGAAACTCGTTTGTCCCGATGTGCGCCATTTGGGGAAAACGTTGTTGCGCCAGACACAGTTAGCTACGATAAGGATGATGGCCGCATTTGATAGGATTTGCAGAAAGCACCGCATAAGATATTGGATGTGGAGAGGGGCCTTGCTAGGGGCCATCAGGCACGAGGGTTTTATACCTTGGGACAACGAATTAGATATTGGAATTATGAAAACAGATTACGAAAAGTTTCGTATTGTTTCTCATGAACTGCCCGTTGATATATTTCTTCAAAATGCCTCGAGCGATCATGCGTTTGGAAAGCACAAACACACCATTCTTGCCAAGCTTAGAGATCAACAAAGTTGCTTTGGAAACTGTGTGCGAGCCGGTTGCAAGTTTCACGACGGCTTTATGATTGATATTTTCGGGTTTGAAGAAGACGCGAATAGTTTTCTTCGGGAAACTACTAATAACAAAGTTAATTTTAACGTTAGGAAAACTGATGTTTTTCCTCTGAAAGAGGCAAGGTTCGAAGGCTTTTCAGTATTCGTTCCAAACCACTACAAAATGATTTTGAGAAAAAATTACGGCTCTGACTATTATGAAATCCCGAAGATAAGGAAACGATGCCCACCTGGACAAATTGTAGGCCTTCCGTGGACCACGTGCCAGGAGCTTAATCGCATGAATTCAACAGAGAAGAATTTTCATATTTACTCGACAAGCATTTCCAAAGTTAAATCTGTTTCTTGGTATTTGTAGATCGCTTAGCGCTGTCGTGTCAGGTTATGCCGACCTTCCCAGAGATGCAAACATAAATTCAACAATTGAATCTTTTTCGAAATTAAGAAGCAAAATATGAAATTAAATATGACCGACAACCTTAAGGAACTATTGGGGAAATCTCGCCATAGTTAACCATGCTGGTCTTAACCATATGTGAATTAATTTTCCAAGTCTGTTAAAACAATTTTAAGCAAATAATTTAACATGTTGGCAAAATCACGATAAGTGTTTTTATGAATACCTACGTTTTTGTGGATTTACTTATATACTAAAATGTTATGTTTTCAGGAGGTTATATTTGATACATACATATCATATTTTTTGTTGATTGATGCTTTGTTGTTGAAAAAATCTAATTAAAATGTCAAGTTCAATACAGAACTGTATAAGAACAGATTAGGTTTGCTGTTATTAACACGGTTTTTGATGTGGAGCATTTTTATAGAAATATTATCTTCGTTTCAAGACATGGCTTTCACTGGATTACAGGAAAGCGATCATGCCCTTTGAAAATAAACTGTTAAAATTAAGTTAAATAGAAATTTTTTGGATCTTGTGATCCTTAAGGGCTGATCTGCGATGAACTGGAATTTTGGAGTGACATTTTCTTTTAATAACAAATTTTAAACTGGTAATATTTAAAGGAAAGCCCTTAATCGCAAAAACTAGTTCTTCAAAATTCGGCAACAAAAATCAATTCTGCAAAGTTTAGGGGGGAAATATTGATTAGGGGGAATATCCGTATAACATTTTTCTTTCGCAAAGTACAACGACTTTGAAGTTCATAAATTTCTTCACAGAAAAAATGTTTTGGGATTAAAAAGTTTAGCATTTATCAATGGATCGGTATTAATGAGCAATTTGTTGGGAAAACGTCATTGTGATATCATACATAAAAGTGGCTAACTACCATAAGAGTTTGCCAACTTGTATCAATCCCACGACAACTAAGTTAATAGGAAAATTGGACTTGGAAATTACGATAAAGTACAGCTATATTTATGTTACTAAATTTAGCTCCCTGCAACCATAATAGTAGAGCTACCACATGCCATAATGGGGTCATTAAAATAACATAAATATTAATGTTCTCAGAGCAGGATGTTGAATAAGATGTTTTGTATACTTGCTTAGCTTGTTAGGGGTGAAAATTGCTGAAATTAAAGAAAGATGAATTAGTAAGGTATCTGATACAGATTCACACCAACAAGGGAAACCTCTTTTATGCAAAAAATACCACAAATTCGATTGATACTCGTCGTCCTTCGACGCTAAAAGAATTGGATAAATTATTTTTCTCGAGCAGCAGAAGCGAGGTTAGTCTCCGAAACAGAGACCGCGGAAGCAGGGGGAGTGAGGGGGCTTTAGCCGCAATTATATTATATTCAAAATATAATTAAAACCATACAACGAATCGTCTTGCTCTTGGTTTTTAGCATGATTAGCCCCTCCCTCCCTCCCCCCTCGGTCTATGATATTCTCGGTGATTTATGCTCCTAAACAGTTCCATCTTTTAGAATCTTGGAAAGAAATTAATCTATAATCCTCCAATCAAAGAATAAAAATGTCGAGCATTTGGGAAAACAAGAAATAATAATGTGCGTGTATGCCAGGCACAAATAAAACCGTAATTCGATAGGGCATAAAAAAGATGTAATCCTAGTCGCTTTGTGTTTGAGGAGTCTTCCTAACAGGTTAATTTGTCTGTTTAACTAAAGACAATACTGCCCTGTTGTTCTTTGAAATTCTACAATGCAAGTAAATCGGTACATGCAAATCGGTTGGTTGTATGGATGCCATCAAGCCCTGACAACTAGCCCTAACCTGACAAAACAAGTTGGTTGCTACCACAGCCTCTGCCATTTGGCCGTTTTGACAGCCAAATTCCTCTATTCTGGCCGTTTTTCAAAGCTATTGGCCGTCGAAAATTGATTTGGCCAAAAAAGTAAAAGTTGGCCGAATTTTGGCCGCATGTTGAAAGCCACAAAAATACAAAGAAAAAGAATGCGACAATTTTTGCACAGAAAATATTCAACACAGGCACAGCGGAGCGTTGAGAAAAGTGGGGGGTCTAAAAAAAGTGGGGGGGGGGGGTAAAACCGTATAAAAAGAGGCTTTTCTGGTCGTTTGATACTTAATATTTGGCATCCCCAGCCCCCCTGGTCCGCGGTGCCTGCAACATTTTGTTAAAACAATCTCAAAATTGCAAATAACGAAGTAAGAAACAAAGTAAAAGATAACAGAAAATTGAAATTGAAAGCAAGTTTGAGCTTTTGAAACAAACAAAGCCAATTTTGATTACACTATTACTCTAAAGATTTAGCCAAAATGTAGCTTTTTTGTATATTTTGTTTGGCTGGCCGAATTTGGCCGTCACGCATAAATTATTTGGCCGTCACGCATAAATTATTTGGCCGCCAAACATTCCAAGCATCTGGCAACCCTGAAGGTCACTCGTAATCACGGCAAAACACCGTTTGAATACCGTTTGAATAGCCTGCCTGCAGACTCTTGAATTGAATTGCAAATGTGACCTTCAGAGGCTACGTTCGAATGAATGCCGCATTTCTGCCGCGCAGCCTGGTTAAAATTTGGACCAGCAGAAATACATTCGAAAAGGACTTTAGCTTGCAGCTAAGTTTGCACGAAGAAAACACGGACTTGCAAATAAACACCTCTTCAAGAATGATCATGGATTCTTGATTAAAACGAATTTTGCGACAGTGGATCTTAGTGTTAGTTGCTGCTTCAAATAATTAATTATCTTACATGGCTTTTGTTGTACAGTAAGATTCGTCAAAATATATCTGTCCATAGGAAAGATAAATACTACTCCAGTTCTTCGTCCATTTTTAGCTGCTCAACCACGCTACGCACATTATCCGTAAGTATTTCCAAACCGATGCCAGCTTTTGCCGAAATTCCAAAAACATTCGAAAACCCATTTGAAGTGAAGTCGTAAACTTTTTCACGAATTATGTCCGACTCTTCTGTGCGCAAAAATGGTAGGTCCACTGAAAAATCATAAAAGTAACATTATATATAATTTATTCAAACAATCTTTTGGTGGTACAAAACTTGAAAATGGCTTTGAAAAAAGCAAACATTTGAGTAAACGAAAGCTTTTCGTCTGACACTCTTCAGAGTTTAAAACGTCAGAACATAGATCTAAAAGTACGACTAAAGCTAAAACGTGCGATTCTGCTATCGGGCAGCATTTACTGGAAAACCCAGATTGTGCAAAAAACTATAATGGCGACATGTTTCGGATTATTGGTAAAGCCCGATCGTCGTTCCATCTAGCAGCTCTGGAATCTATCTACATAAACACGAAAAAACCGCTATTATGTAGACAAAAAGAGGTCTTTTTCACCTTAGGACTATTGGTAACATTCTCAATAGGCAAGCGGCACTGGTTGGTCAGCCTCAACAGTCATCTACTCGCGTTTCTGATTTTTAACTCGTGTTTCTGACGTTTTAAAGTCTGAAGAGTGTCAAACAAAAAGCTTTAGTTTACTCAAATGTTTGCTTTTTTCAAAGCCATATAGTTTATTCTGTAACAATTAAGGCACTATGTCCCGTCAGCCAATCGTTCAGTGTTAACAATAGGCTTTGCAGGGTGTTTATGATAGGTCAATCGGCAGCATCCTTGCATGCGCAAAATGCCAAATTTATTTGACAATTCTGGAATTAGGTTATTAAAAATGATATCAGGTAAACAATTTTTAAAGCTGTCATTTAGTTATCAAATTAATTGGCTTGCTAAATAACATAGACGCTTTTGGTGTCTCTTCATTTCATATTATCTTCTTTTCATTAATTTCACAATAAACGTTGAACGTTTTGGGTTCATTATTTGATTGTCATATGCTTAGACAATGAGCAAATCAGAATTTAAGATAAACAAGTCATTAACAAATTTAGAGCAACTCATTTTGTGTCAGTATTGAAACTTTAAAATTAAAGTGCACTGCTAAAACTTTCTCAGTTATAATTTTTTCATGAAAAAGAAGCTTTAAGCAGTTTGCTTTAAAGTAAACATTTTTCGTTTCTTCAATAAAGTGACACTTCGTGGCCATCTTTTATGAATAGTCAGAGAATCTTTTACAAAATTGCTGAATTTTCCCCATCAAAACAGCAAACCAATCATTCAATTCTCTTTCAACCGAAAGTCGAAGGAATGGCGAAAGCATTTTCCCGCCCCTTCACCTAAGGCCTGGTTCAAACGTCGCACTTCTCATGTGCCGAACCTAACTCTGCTTGGAGCGACACTTGAGCATGTTTAGCGCGACTCCCGTTTCAAACGTCGAACTTAATCATGTCGCGCCAAATGGGTTTTAGGATTGTTACATGAAGTATCTTGGTTAAGGCACACAATCTCACATATTTGTTTGAAACGCATGCGCCCTCAAAGAAAGAAATGAATTCTGGGAAGGAAAATAAATTAAATATAATTATGCATTGAGTTCGGTACATGACAAGTTCGACGCTTGAAACCGTGCCGTGCTAGAGCCGTGCAGCTCGGCAAGCTCTGCCGATCCAAACTAGTCTGCCGCTCCTAACTAAATCTGCCGTACCAAATTGATTCAAACGTCACGCCTCTCATGTACTTAATTCTCGAGTTAGGTTCGGCACATGAGAAGCGCGACGTTTGAACCAGGCCTAATAATTCTGATTTTGAAATTGGTCGGATTAGGCCCGTGGGCACTGTGAGCCGCCAACCTATGTGATGACTGCGTGATAATGCTCCTTTTTTAGAGACCATCGATTTTCCTGATACTCAACAGGTATCGACTTAAGGCAAGCTTTGTGTTGCTAATGTCTTACAAAAATTACACTCACTTTTGGTGATGTTCACCATTTGGTGTTTAATACGTGCAACCAGTTCTCCAGATGGTTCAGTGTCGACTTTGTTCAGGGCAACTAATATTTCGCGATCCATCAACTCTTTTTGATACAGGTAAAGCTCCTGTGGTTTTAAAAAAATTTATAATGATACAACTTTGAAAGTCAATAAAAGCTACGGTGAACGTTTCCAAGCTGAAGTTATTACTACAGATATAAAAATCTGTTAGACTTTTTACCAAAATGAATATGGAAATAGGTCTTGTTTACGTTACGTAATAACGTTTGAAAACCTTAAAAATAAATAACAAATCGTTTTCAAATGATCATGTGCAAAGTTAATGAAACATTGAATTTCTATAAACAGAAATTTCTACGGCCATAAAATCTCACTGTGCCTAAGAGGTTAAATATTCTGCATCAAAGTCACATTTCTGATACAAAGTTTATTCTCTGTGACATATGAACGATTGATGGTCTGAATTTTTGTTTTTGTTTACATTGTCATCAGTCTCTAAGTCAATGCGACATGAATGTTTTGCCCTAAAGACAAAATAATTGGATTTTAAATTCAAATTCTTTATTCGCGGAAAATGAAACATGACATATTTCACAAGAATATTCGGTTGCTCGGGAGAAGTTAACTGAGAGTTTTCAAATGGTTTTACCATCTCCTGTCCAAGTATTGAAATGCCCATGTCTTTTGGCTGCATGAACGGGGATACCTATTTCTTTTAAAAACTAGTTGCTATTAGGCATCGCCCATATTTATTAAAATTTTTACAAAAACACTGTATAACTAAGGTATTCTCATTAAAAAATTCCACGACACAAAAGTAGAAGAAAGTACCTGCAGAAGCAGTGTTATCGTTTCAACGGGGCTCCTCAGTGGGAATTGTGAATTCAGTTGAAATCCATTTATATCAACCTTCAGGAATTTAGAAATAGAAAACAAGAATTAGAGGTGTGCATAAATTAAAAGTTTGTTAGTGAAAATGTTCTCAAAGTATTCAGACTTCCTCTAGGGAGCGTCCACAGTGTTTACATGATCCTTTAATCCCTGCTGACACTCTTTGCTTGTCATATAGCCACTGGTTATATATCAAAGTTTAACTGTAATTCTTATTAGCAACCACTTATTTTAATGCTATTTTGACTATACTTGGCTCTGAATGGAAAACTGACAACGCTTTCCTTTACGAAATTGCATTTCTGCCAGGTTTAAACCTCCATTTGCAATGAAAAGAGTAAACACGATCAAAAGCCAACTGGGATTTCAAGCAAACCTTGGCGTTTCATGAAGATTAAGAAACCCTAGGCCGATTTCAGTTTTGATATGGGAATAACAGAAGGAAGGAGCCAGGCTACTAGCAAACAGCCTTATAAGTTTATGCTTCATCTTTAAAGAAAGCTAGAGTCAGCTGGTCAAAAGATATTCATGAAAACGGCAAAAATAATCGCTTATATTTTAGCTGTCTGTTCTGGAAATTATCAAATTAATTTTGTAATTCAACTTCTTAGGAATTAATTTGAGTTGTCTAGACGTCTAAAACAGCTTAATACAGACCGATCTGGATTTCACATCAAGAAAAATAAAACAGATATGCTCAAAAAAACTTTGATTCACTGAACCAAAGCACCAAAAGGCATCAAACGGTGTTTGTATAAACTCGGCCCAGACCTCACTGCGATTCCCCCTGAACATATTATACAAAGAGGTAGAGTGAATAAAACATGTTCAATCATTTGATAATCTAAACAAAGAGGATCAAATAGCCAATGTTAAATCTTGTATGTTATGATTTTTCGTACAAAAATGATGTCTTAAAAAACAGAAAAAACATAGATATCATTTCAGTTCTTATGGATACCGTAAATTCTCTTTTTAGACCCCCTCTCAATTAATTCCCCCTCTCTTATTAGCCCCCCTTTTGCAGAAGGAAAAAATTGACTAGCCCTCCTTTCAATTTAGCCCCCCCCCCCCCAAAAAAAATTTTTCACTGATGCTGAAATAAGTAAACTTGACAGAAAACAGAGATTTTCATTTTATTCATTGGTCGTTCAATTCTTCGCATCAAATCAAAACTCACACCATGTCTCTAGAATTAATAATTGTTGACGATGACGATGACAATATTATTGGTACAGAGGGCTGATTTGATGTTTTTTATTTCGCAAATAACAAAAAAATTTACCACTATAAATGGTTTTTTATTAAAAAATATTTATTAAGCCCCCTCTCTCAATTTAGCCCCACCTCTCTTATAAGCGCCTCCTTTAAAGTGCGTAAATCATAATTGAAAACTGCCAGATATTCGTTGCCTTGTGGCTTTTATTCTGTTACGCAGCTAAAGCTATGAAAAAAGCTTCTGGGGCACTTAAATAATGATGCACGTCTTAGAAAAATGGTCGTTATAAAGAACCCAGTGTTTCAATAGAAAATAACAGTTGTGCTTAGAGGGGTTCCTATTCCTTTTCACTGACTCTGTCGAAAAAAATTATCATCCTAGTATATAAATTTTCCCTGGTTGCGCTGCAAATTATGCGAATTCCTTGAAGACAATATATTTCAGAGACAAGTGAATATCTTACCATCATTAAAATCACTTTTGTTCTTTCTACATGGCGAAGAAACTTGTGGCCCATTCCACGATTCAAATAAGCATCTTCAATCAGCCCAGGCAGATCAGTATAGCTTATCTAATAAAATAAGCAACATTTTGAATCACAGACACAGATTGCTTTTATTGTCGAATAAAAAGCCTGTCACCATTTTTCAAGATGTTTTACAAAAAGTTGTTACCACAATAATGGCAAATTAAAACAGGATGGCTCTTTCCAATGTACCACTCCCTGAATAATACGCCTTATTTGTCTGCCTTTGTGCACAGACGATTCATTTGTCGTAGTGAATACCCAAAGTACCGTTGTGTTACAAAACTAAGGACAGTGTGACAGCTTTTAAAATCTATCGGGCAATCAGAGCCTGTAGACATGGGGGACACTGCTCAGGGGTGTTTGTTAAAATGGGAAGGATTCTGATAACCAAATGGTTTAGAAACGAGAAAAGTTCGAGATCTATGGAAAAGCAAAGTATGCTTTAAATAATTATCAAGGTGAAAAGTTAGGGAATAAATGGTAGAACGATTTGCTTTCAAATATTCCCGCCTCAAATTCCAGTCTGTGCAAAAAATCTTAAAACTTTTTATCTTAATTTGTTTTCATAATAGATAGACGGCCCCTTGTAAATCAGCTTTGTTGAGCAGGCTTTAGCTTTGTATACATCATTATGGAATTATTATCATTATTTTTCATTCATTTGTAGATTATTTAAAAAAACTGAGCCTAGCGTCTGAATAGTGGATAAGCAACTCTGGTTAAGCAAAGTTTTAATCATAACTCTTACACGTTAAAAAATGAGAAGGATGACCTAAATGCTTGCAAAAAGTACTTGGAACATTTAAGCATTTTGGTGAATTTTCTATGTATATTCAATTCACAGTTCCAAGAACAGCCGAGTTTCCCTCTTTCCCCCCAAAACAACGTTGAAAATACACCATAGCCATTCTATTTTCTAAAATGGTTACGTTCGAATAGTTTATGGAGAACAATCCAGCATTGTTTGAAGGGGAGAGAGTAAACAGCTAAGGTGTATGACAAGATTGCTCTTGCTGTTCCAAGACCTGGCATCACTGGTTAGGTACCACAGAATAATAATAACGAAGGGACTGAAAGAAAATGTCGAAGCAACCAGTTAAGGATTCAGGAGAAAATTTTCTCACCGTAGTATGATCAGGATATTTGATTAAACCAACAGTTGGTCGCAATGTTGTAACTGAAATGAGAGAAAGCCATGGTGAGCAGTTAAGAAGAACTGATGAAAAAATGAGAATTTATAGGAAATATTTAGTAACTTTAATTTTTGAAAGGAAATTTTTAAAAATTAAATAATTCTGACGAAAAGTAAAAATAGCGGTTGTATGAAATACAATCGAAATTTTAAAGAAAATGAAAAAGCTTTCCCAATCTTTTGTTGTTGTACAATCACTAAAAGAGAAAACTCAATAACATACAACTGTGCCTATCATGGCGGGAAAAGACTCAAGATCATTGAAGTTCCCACCATGAAAGGCACTTACAATTCAAAATTTGACAATATTCTAAATAAAAAGAGACTACAAAGGAATGTCAAGTTTCTGTCTTGACATTTACAATCTTCCATGTAGCAAATAGTTTTTTTTTAAATAATTGCCCTACATAAAATGAAAACGTTGTTCGGGTCAAGAAGGAAACGAGGTGTTGTCAAAAGGAGGGTGATTTCAGATGATTCTAAGCGATTTATTGCTGCCACAATGGAAGATAAGTCAAAACGCAAGGAAATGATTATGTTTATATTTCAATAGACAATCGTGTAAAAGAGGCCTAAAACCAATGGTTGATTCCAAAGGCAGTCTGTCCCCTATTGTGCTCAACTTCATTATCATGAGAGTGAAATTCACGCACCGTTGAGCTTGTGCGACAATTACACGATTTAAACCAACCAGAGACAACTTTGATTCCTTGGCTGTGTTCCCGCTGTAGTGAAGCTGTGGCTAGAAAAATTTGGTTCCCTGTTTGGTTTCTGCCTGCGACAGATATGTCAACAGCGAATATCAATGCTTCCATTATCATCGTTTAATTCCAGTAATTAAATATTCTGGCCATTCGCGATAGCTTTTGCACGCAGTTTCAAATGTCGTCCACTACCGCAGCTAGGCCAGCCAAAGCAAGTAGCGTAATTCGTTAAGGCGGGAAGACCTATTGTTTATATTAGCCAATCATTGAGGGAACAGACTGCCTTTAAGGCAGCAAAATATCTTGGTAGCCTTTGCATTTGCGTCTATTTGGAATTCACAGAACATTTAATGTTTTAAAATCCTATGAATTTGAGCACCCAATGAAAAATCTTCATGCTCTGATTAAATTTCATCATCAAATGGCACCCATGCACTTAATTGCCTGTGGGTTGGTTATTTCGCAGTAGCTTTGGTTACAGAAACATGTGTGTAACATATTGCATCGTAATGAATTAAAACAACTGAAAAACTCCTTTCTGTTTTTTGTTCATAGGAAGGATTCAAAAAGGCAAAGAGCTTACAAGGGTAATCTGCAACTTTTGGTGTTGCGTTTGAGACGCTTTGAAGGAATGTAGACTTGCCAGCATTTGGGAATCTGTCAGATTTAAAAAAAGTAATAGACATTATACAAAAAAGAAAAACAAGAAAAACCATAAAGCCATGGCTAAAATACGATGATGCTACAGTAAATAAAAATCTATGCGCCAGGAGAACAGAACTTGGGAAAAAATACTGAAAGAAATGCGAGCAAGAGACATGTCACGGGCAGGACTCGAACCCAGGACCAGCTACACGGTGCCAGGTACTGGTCATGTCAAACGCTCGCATTTTCTTTGAGGAAGATGAGGATTCGACAGATCTCCGCAATTCCAAGCATAGGAATCACGAGGTGTGGTCACATTGAGAGGAAGGACCAGGACACTGCTCGATAAGCATAGCTTCTCAGGGTCCTAAACCTAAGTTATTAACAAATACATTTTTACTCAGTATAAAAATCCATGTAATGAAAGCAGTTCACCACGATTCAAAAAATGATATCAAATTACCCTACAAGACCAACATCTCCAAGAAGCTTTAGTTCAAATGTTACGATCTTTCTCTCTCCTTTTATTCCATTGAACTTCAATGTCTTGTGTGAGCCGCCATGTCCTCCCCTTGCTAGTATCATCTGCTCACCATGAGTGTTCAGCTCTTTAAGAAGGTTATTTTCTCCATCATAAACTACCGTTCCTGCAGGTACACTTAGAAAACTGGATCTTCCGGGCTTTCCATCTCCTTTATTTTTCCTGTAAATACGTAAAAAATTATCCAGCCACTAACCAAACATTGAGGTTTAGCAAAAAGTCAAAAGAATATTCTCGAATAATATAAATTTTTGGGGAGACGAAACAAATGTGCTTCAAATGACGTGAAGCAGGAGATACATTTTCAGGAAAGCTCGGCAATATTTTGTTTTCTGACATTAGCATGCCTTCTGAAAATGGGAAAGGAGCATTCTCAATAGAGTGAATGAACTTGGGGAAACTGGAGCATGCTGCTAATAATATATATAATAAATATTGATCTTAAAATTAGAGGGTATCCTATAATAAATTATTGAAAATATCACATTTCAATGTTTGACTGGTTCAATTTTTTAACAAGATACTTCGAAATGGTTTTCATTTCAACAATTTTTGTTCATTCATCAGTTATCAGTTAAAAAATCTTTCTTATAACGACTGGACAAGCTTCTACTCTTGAATAATGCCCCCTCTCCACAACATCCAATCCCTTTCTTAAATTGCTTAAACACCATGCAATTTGGGTTGCATATCAATAGTTTCCATGTCTTCTCTCAAATATTGCTAAATCCATCCCCTCCACCCAAAAAAGCAATGTTGAGAGTCTACAAAAACTTCATACAATGTACAAAAAATATAGCTGAATTTTCCATTGAAAATTAAGTTAGCGTTCCAAGACTTTTAGCAGACATTTTCTATGTTCAAAAGCCTCCAACAGATGTTCCTCTGCAATTCTAGCTAATAAGGTATTTGATAACTCTCCTTACTTGAAATGATCGCCATGCCCTGCTATGTGCCTTCGGTAACCAAGTGTCTTGAATTGTGCCAAAGAAGAACCATCCATACACCGAGCAACCACATCACCACCTTTACCACCACATCCACCAGCACTTGGACAACCCATACCTCCTGAACCACCTTTCACATAGATTCTTACTTTGTCAATAAATGTAACACGCCTACCCTTGAAAGTAATGCAGTCCAAAATGATACAAACAATTATGCTTCAAAAGATGACATTTGGCTTCAAAGGTTAAAGTTTTGATAAGTGAATTTAAATGCTTCAAAAGCTAAATTTTAAAATATTGAGAGAACAGGAACAATATGATAAAATAAATACAGTTGTGCATAACTTAGTTATGTTGCACTATCTATATGCATTCAGAATGAAACTCATAATAGCAACTTAAAAACTTTTATTTTTTCCTCCTAAAGTGCACAGCTCTGCATATAAAGCATCAGGTACTTTATGACAGATTGGTAAAACAGTAATTTTTGTTTTCTGTTATGTTTCTGTTCCAGTAAAACAGTAATTTTTGTTTTCTGTAATGTTTTCTGTTTCAGTAAAACAGTAATTTTCGAATCCATAGGTATATGGATTCTTCTCCCTCTCATGTTAGTTTTGATTAATACCTGGATATAAATTTTGTGCTTACCTTAGGCCAATATGCAATATTTATACTGAAAAGTCATACTACTGCAATTTCTGTCATATTCAAATTTTGCAGTTCAAAAAACTAATAATCTACTTTTTGATAAAGCAACAAGATAATGTGGTGTGATAACAAAAAATGCTTTCTTTTAAAGCACTAGTAACAAAGAAAAAAATTGACGCTATTTAGGAGGAATATGAAAAATAGGCACATACTTTTTTCCTTGCTTGTCCTTCATAGGAAACTGAAGTCTAAGAAAAGAACCTGCACTTTAGATATGAGCGAATATGTTGCAAAACAAGGTCAAATTTTGATACATCCAGGAGAAGCATGAAGGAAACCAGGTTATTTTAGGGCACTACACATTCAGCAAGTACAACTTCCTACTATAAGTAAATTACTTTAAGATGAATACCAGATAGATAACTGTCATTCATACTATGGAACATTATCATCTCTAGCCATTATAGGATGGAAATGAAAACATATTTGAGCAACATGCATTTAATTTTGAATTAAGATAAACTTTTTAACAATTACACAAATATATATGGACATACTTGTGAAGAAATGCATCTTGTTGATGACCAGATCCTGTTGCTGCAAAGTAGAGATGTAGAATGTGAGAGTAGGAAAATAAATATACTAGAAAGTTAACCATCTCTGACAATTTTCATTAAACGAGTCTATTTTCTGACATGGGACATTTTGGATTTTTTGGGGTACCTGGCCAAGAAACAGAAGTTCTTCTTAGCCTTTGTTGACTTGGAAAGGCCTTTGATAGATTGCCCAGACATGTGGTGTGGTGGGCCTGAGTTAGCAAGTGGCTTATCAAAGTTGTCCAGGCAATGTACAATAAATAAAGAAATGAAGAAGGGGAAGTTTCCATGCTCAGTTTATAGAAAGTAACTCAATTTTCTGTGCATCATGCAAGCACTGAGTACATAAAAAGTGCAGTGGCATCAAAAGAAGGCTGACAGATAACACCAATTTCAGCTGCCAAAAGTATGTGGAAGGAGAAGCATCCAATGATATTGAGATGAGGAATATGAATCTGGATGATGAAAAAGTTGAAGTGGTACTGACTTTCTGCTACCTTTGGAGACACAATTTGAGCCAAAGGAGGGATCGATGCAAGTATGAGAGCAAGGGTGAAAAGTGAATGGAGTAGGTCCTGAGATCTGTTGCCACTGTTAACCATCAGAGGTCTGGCATTACCATGAGGGAGATGTATGGAGTGCAATGGTGTATGGCAGTGAAAATTGGCCAGTTAAAGCTGAAGATGTATGTTACATGGAAAGAAATGACATGAGAATGGTATGGTTGATGTATAATATAAGCCTAAAGGACATGCTGAGCTCCATTGTACTCAGACAAAGATTAAAGCTGAAGATTATTAGCAAGTGCCTGAGGCTTTTTTGGTTAGGTCATGTTAAGAGAAAGGGTGATATTGATTTGATGAAGAAATGCAGAACAGTAAAAGTGGAAGGAGATGTTGTCAAAGCAAGATAAAATGAGGAACTAAGATAGCATAACTAAAACCCCTTGATGTACCTCCCGTTTCGTATCCTGATTTTCAGCAGAATGAGCTCTGTTGTCCAAAACAAGACCACCTCTCACAAGAGCAAGCCTTGCCAAGGCAAATGAGCCATTGCTCTTACATTTCTATCATGTTTTAGTGAGGTTGCCGGCCACTTTTCCTTTGCCAACTTTCATGTTTTGGACTGTTTTGAATGCCCTTTATTTTATCTTGGTCAAAGTGAGACAGAAGAAAACATGGGAGAAAATAATAAAGTCCAATCTGAAGGAAATAGGTGTCACCAGTGCTTGGTAAAGAATAGACTGGCCTGGAAGTGAACTGTCCAACACATGCCAGCATGTAAGACAGGTGAAAAACTTAACATGATGATGATGATTCATCAACCAGGCCAGAATTAAAACCATTCCTGACAAAGTAAATATAAGATTGCAGTTTTCTTATTGACAGTTTCTTTGGAAGAACTTTGTACAGTATTAACAAACAATAATCCAAAGTTATTTAAAAAATTGATACTTGTTCATAAGCAAATAGTTAATGCTTAAAAATGTAATCAGAAATCAGATGTTGAGACAATAACCATAGTTTTTATTGTAAATCAAATTGTCGAACTGAATCGGTTGGTGAACAAAACATGCCAGTAAATTTTAAACAATTTTACGTGTTTGTACTTTGCTATTTTTAATGTGATTTTAAATTAATTTGTTTTGTGTTAATCAATTAATCAGTGTTTATAAAGACTTAGAAGATAGGGAACTTTTGGGTGAATGAAGATGAAATATCGAGTCATATCACAAGATTTTGGTCGTACGATGGCAAAAATGGTAGAAAATGGTTGCGAATAGCAAAAATGACAGAGTTATCATATCTTGAAATTTCATATTACTTTTTCCACAGCTTGCTGATGTATGATTACACCAGGTTTGTGTAAAAAATCACAAAAAGAGCTTACACGATTCTTTTCTCTGTACAACTGCATATTTGCTTAACCATAGAAGGAATCATCTTTATGCAGTAAAGACAAAATTCTTATTCTTTCTCTTCTAGATCTCCAAAAAAATGAATTCCCTCGTGATAACAATTAGCCATATTGTATTTACCTCGTAATAAAGAAGACCCTCAAAAATAGAGGCGGAACAGGGGAAAGAGATTTGACCATGTGTGCCAGAAGAGTCCATGCATTCAATCATTCTTATGGTCTGTTTCCTGTTTCTTTGTGTAAGGGGATTTCTAGGATGATGAAACTTGCCTGTGGACATAATGATAATGTACCAGGGCGTTGAAATCTAGGGTGCATGTATTCAAGTTTAATTAACAGCTTGAGAAGTTTGGCCGGAATAAATCTTAATATAAGGTGCTTTAATGTTTGTCAGTTAGCAATGGCCGCCACAGATGTTTTGAATGAGTTCAGAAAGTCGGTGAAAGAGCAGGTAAGATGAAAGAAATAATCGGATTTTTGTTTATGTTTACTGTATGTAATGCAGAGGTGGAAAAAGTATCGGAACCTGGGAACGTAGTTCCCATAAATTTTCCTGGATGGAAATATTAGCAGAAAGTTTCTCAGAAAATTTTTGAAGGGTTAAAGTAAATATAAAAATCTGGTGACATCAGTTAAGTCGAATTAGCAGAAAATATTATATATTTCAATTATTATTTCAGATGTAGCTTGCCTGTGAACAGCTAAATCTAAGCTGCCAATGGGCTGTGGGGCATAGTCTTTTCCCATTTGAAAGAAACTCACAGAAATCTCAACCACTCACCATCAAAATTTTTTTGGCAGCTGAGCTTTCGAGGCAAACCATGATTCAGACTGAGATTATAATATAGGGACTAGAATCTATTTTCACATAAAATATTTCTAGCACTATGGTGATCATAAGTTAATATGCTTGGTATAGGACTCCATTTCAACCATATATTGCTTCTCACTTATCAAAGATTAGGCTGTTAAGCCTTCTCCATAAAATGTACCATACAATTCAAATTATTTTGCCCCTGACTCTTCTGAAACTATGTTTGAAGATTATTCTATGGATTTTCATTTTGATTTTGATTTTTCCATCATGATGATTGACTAAATGAATCAATTTCTGGCTAAAGTTGAGTTTTGAGAACAAATTTGATGCCAGGAGGAACATAAACAAAGAAAGCACATCATAGGAATTTCTAATTGCCACCAATAGCCCAAATCTGGCCCATGCTGATGCGGTTCTCAAAGAATCAATGAATTCTTACTGGTAATCTAAAGGAAGTACATGGCATTTTTTCAGAACGACTGTTTTGGAACAATTAAAAGAACATGCAGGTGGCTCCCAAGTATTAAACAGATTGCTCAAACAGCCAAGCAAGTTGCCCTTCATGGAAAAATACCATTAACACCTTTTTTTGGCTTTGACATTGACTAATAGTCAAGATCTCCAATGTGAAATGACACAGAAATGTAAAAAAGTTGATTGCCTGACAATTTTATACATTCGATTTAACCTTTTATAGCGATACTTCGTGAAAAAAACGAATTAAGCATTAAAAAACAAAATATTCAACAGTTAATTAAATTAACAGTTCATTTAATTAAAGTTTTTAAACGTAAGAACTCTATCAACATCCAAGGACTTAGCTCCATAGCTCTCCAAAATTTTTCCAAGTCACTTAAGCCAGTATCTGTGCACTATCATAATCTGCTTACACTCATGCATTGTATTGTGCACAGCATTGTTTTTGTTCAATATGCTCCTTTGAACTGTTGATTTTATGTTAATAATGTACCATACAACTGTTCGATTTTGACTTATTGTATTTTCCTTGCTTTCAATTAGGCCTATTTAGTTTTCAGCATTTTACCACAATGTTGTTTCTTTATAGCCGTAACTGCCACTAAATTTCCAGTGACACCCTTAGCTTCCATCCTTAGCTGCCATCCGTGTGATATCCCTGCTACTTCAGCAATCTTATTTCCATAACTGCCATAAACTCCATTTAAATAACAGCCTTCTACCTTGATTCTTTGCTGCCCTAATTTAATGAAAAATGAAAACAGTGCAGAGTTTCTTTTCTGATTGCCAAAAACTGTTAATGGTGGCGTACTGACATGCTTGGAAAAATTCTTCTTCATGCTTTTGTACTTGTTTGGGCCTCATCAACATTGTTTCCCAAATTTTGGGATATTTGGAGCCACACGTTTTTTTTATTTTCTGGGATTTATATCCTTTATAAGATTTGTCAAGCACAATAGTTTCTAAGGCAATTCACCTGATTTTAATTTATTATATGGCAGCACATCAACCACTTACTTCTCTTCTCTTCGTGGTCATGTGGAGTTCTGAATACTCACAGAAGCTAGATGCCATGGTTTGGTCATTTTCGACTCCAACTCAGTCCTGGTCTTAAGTTTTTTTATTTTGAATTGTCTCTTATCCATTTTCCCATTTAACTTCACCACTTATCCAGTTAAAAAACTATTCAACTTCACCACTAGAGACATTTTTTTCAGGGTGATCTTGTGAGGAAATTAAAAGCTGAGAAAGCACCTATCACAGAGATTGATGTTGCTGTTAGAGAATTGAAAGCAAGAAAAAGGATTCTAGAGGCAAAGGTAACTTTGAGGCAAATTTCTGAACTTGAGGAAGTCAAAATTTATGATAATGTTCTTCGATAACTTTGGTTATAATTTCTCAATATGATTTAACAACAATTTTTATTGCAAAATTATCGTTGTTTATTTTAATTTCTTTACACATCACTAAATTGTAACTTGTCAGGCTTTCATAAAATTGCTAGACTAAATCTGGATCCAATATGTTAGTTAGATCAAGATAGATTTTAGATCTAGGCAAGGTTCAGGAGGAGAATATTTTGTATCTCGGTGCAACACAACAGACGCAAGGAAGAAACTTCTAGTTATTTATGCATAACTTGGTAAGGACAGGAGAAGCCTCATTGTTAGACAAACCCAGTCAATTTTTCATTTCGTCTGTGATGCAGGCTAGGATGCTAGAGCTCAATGATCAAAGCATACCTTTTCTTGTTGGGCCTACATTATGTCAACAATAACTGATAATGTCACAAACTGTCTACAATTGATTTATTTTGAAAGAATTGTAATGATCAAAACTATATTATTTCCAAGCTATCAAGTAACAACTATATGTACCCTGCATAGTGTAGCTTTGGCCTACATTTTTCAATTGATGTAAATTTGCTATTAATTTTTGAATTGCAGAGTTTTGATAACAGGAACCTTTAATTGGACATTTACGCAACATTTGCTTTGCAGTTTGACGCTACCTTTTATGTTTGAAGGATTTTTGTAACAAATACATTGATATATCTTTCTTTATGTGACAAAGCAATTGCAGCAAATTGTGACTATATTCTATCATAGGAACTTGAATTAGAAGCACCTGGAGAAAAATTTGATAGAGGCAAATGTGAGGACCTCTTGAAAAGAAGATTCTTTTACACTCCAGCATTTGAAATATATGGAGGTTGGTTTAAATTTTCATGTTTATTTGAAATTTTTTTTCCAAGATTTCACAATTGTTCATTGCTGTTATCAAATTTTGTTGCGGCCTTAGTGGCATTCAAAGGTCTCAAAATTCAGGCAGAACAGCTCATTTCATTACCATGGCCTTTCTGCAAACTTAAAATGGCGGTAACAATAGAGCATTTCTAAGTGCAAGGAGTAATGTTTTATAAAAGTTTCAATTTTCTTCCGTGATCAGTTGTACCCACACTAGTTAACTCCAATTCACGTGTCTACTACTTATCACAAGCATTTTGATCAAGTGTGTCTCTTTATGTTAAAGCCCTGAAATATATGTCTTTTTGGTAAACTGCTGCCGGACTAAACCAGTGAAACTCTCACAACACTGTCAATTGTGCAGTAGATATTGATGCTTTAATCATCATGTTTTAATGTATAGGTGTTGCTGGCTTATATGATTTCGGCCCTGTTGGTTGTGCTATGGAAACAAATATTATAAATATTTGGCGATCTCATTTTGTACTTGAAGAGCAATTCCTAGAAGTTCGCTGTACGCAGTTGACACCTCATCAAGTACTCAAGTAAGACTCTGTCTATATCATTTTCCACTTAAAAATGGAACCAAAAAGAGATCAAAATAACAAATGTTAGAAATTTCCAAATGAAACCTAAAAACATTTGGATATATATATGAAGATTTTGGTCAAATTTCCAAATAGTTAGAATGATACAGTAACATTTCGAAATTTTCATATAATTGTCTGTTCTTCAGATCTTTCTCCAAGGGGCATGTTTTTTGTAAAATATCAATAATTTCCATTCATTTTGTCTCCGATCTCAAGATTGACATGATAATAACATTTTTCACACCAGCTCACAACGCCCCTTCCACTGATGTTCATCACCATAAGCGTGAACTGGCAATTCTCCCTTAGCACTAAAACATTTCCTTGTTTTCTTCAACCATCAGCCTTTTTTGCAACCTTTGAAAGCAATTTAAACATACATTAAAACCCTTTATTTCGATCCTCGGCCCGCTAGAATTGAGTAACCCGCATTCCAAGGAGATTAGGTTTAATGGATCAGTTGATGTGAACAACAGCGAATTCTCACTTTGCACTATTTGTTAGGAGACGTTAAGGATAAAGGTGCCATTGACTCAATGTGGATAGAACAAGATTCTTAAGTAAATCCAGTCTATGCCCTTGATATTTTATGAATAGTGAAATAATGTGTTGGTTTCTTTTAATTGATATGAACTCTAATAATTATGATGTTGCCTCTGTATTGCTTAAGATTATATAATCATATTTTTCTTGGTATATGTTACAATTGTACTTTTTCTCCCAAAGCATTTGTCTTATTGCATTTAATTACGCTATTCTCTTAGGGCTTCTGGTCATGTTGAACGATTTACCGACATCATGGTTAAAGACTGCAAGAATGGAGACTGTTTTCGAGCTGATCATTTGTTAGAAGGTCGGTTCAAAACTTGTTCCTCCTTAGTCGAAATTGCAACGTGAAAAAATGCTCTGAAACGCAGTGCATTCGTACAAATTATTATAATTTAACCCATAATTTATTATGATCTATGTAATTCTTTTGTTATTTTAATGGAAGGGAGTGTTTGTTTTGAACTTTAGGCCATATTGAAAAGTTGATGCAAGCAAAGAACCTGGATTCAGAGAAAAAGGCAGAATACCAGAAGATTTTGAATCAGGTAAAAATGATTTCATCTGATGTTCCAGATTTGGTTTCTAATCTTGCTCGCCAAACCATATCAAGCTGTAAGACCCTCTTCATATTGCCACTTATTTGAAAAGTTGGTTCTGATCTTTCAGCTTTCTCTTAATTCTTTTTTATTTCCCTTTTTAAAGACAGCGAATAGTTTATTATATGCCTACTGCGTAATCTTATTCAAAATGGAGCAGGGTTAGATTAAGTAAGAATTTGTAAGAACATCTTGGAAAGAATAATGTTTTATTAGAAATCGTGCTTCTGTGAATCTTTTGGCTTTTCTTTAAAGATTGTTGATCACTCATTGATTAAACTCGACAATTTTATGTACTAAAAACTGATTTTTTTGCTAGATTGACAATTTTAGCAAAGATCAAATCTGGGAAAAGCTTCAACATTACGGGGCGAAAGCTCCTGTAACAAACAACGATTTAACGGAACCCGTTGAGTTCAATCTAATGTTTGCGACATCAATCGGTCCAGGAGGCTACTTACCTGGGTATGTTGTTTAAATTGGTTTGTGTCAGACGACGCTCTATAATTTGAAAAACCATGTTCAAGATGCTGACAACTCGAATCTTGTCTGATAGGCCATATCCCTTTCTGATTTGTCTATTCCTTAAAAATAGAAGCTGTGAGATGAAATTGTTCATATAAAAAAATATTAATTAGCATCCCAAACTTCATTTATCCCCTCCCATCTACACACACTTAATTTCTCAACATATCTGCAGACATAACATCAACTCTACACATCTCCTATCCGAAGTCATCCCCCATCCTCACACATCCACTATCCCAACATACCCCTCCTTGCTCACCCATCCTTATCGCCACACATTCCTTCCATCCACGCACCAACCCTACCCCCACTCTCCTCCCACCCCCTGTGTAAACAAGATGTAATGTGCAGGAAGTTTATATTGATCTTGAAATTCGTCTGCTTATCGTACAAGTCTTTTGAAATCATCTCTAAGATGATAATATCTTTCACCTAGATTTATGCGACCAGAAACAGCTCAAGGTATCTTCTTAAATTTCAAACGACTTCTGGAGTACAACAATGGCAAGTTGCCTTTCGGTGGAGCTCAAATCGGTTGTGGATTTAGAAATGAAATTTCACCTCGTGCAGGACTTTTGCGAGTTAGGTATATGAATAGAAATTGGTGCAATCAGACCCTCTTGTTTTTTAACTCGTTTCAAACCTCATTTCGAAAGAAAATGAATTATCTACTTTGAATGTTGCAAGTAATTGTTTGCCATGATTTCTTACCACATTCAGTAACTATTAGGAGAATGCTAACTACAAAACAAAGAAATGAAATTCTTTTTATTAACTTAAGATGGCTTTTGTGATTTTCATTTTTTCTGAGTAATTATCGAATGTCAAAATCTCAATTCTGCTCTGATTCTGATCTGCTCTTGCCGATTTTCACATCTTTACCGATATCGTTCTCTAGGGAATTTTTAATGGCTGAAATCGAATACTTTGTCGATCCCGAATGCAAAGAGCATTCAAAATTCGAATCAGTTGCAGATTTGCACGTGAAACTCTTCTCAAAGGAGAGCCAAATGTCAGGGGAACCAGCTATTGATGTTAGTTTGCGAGATGCCGTTGCCAAGGTGAGGCATCTTGAAGAGGGTTGGTTATCACCTTTTGATTCCTCGCTTTTGAATCTGAACATTCTCATAAGCTTACCTATACTTTATTTTCTCCTTTGTTGCTAAGTGGAAACTTCTACTGTTGAAATTATTTAAATCAACTTAAAATCTTCTTAATTAATCTTGAAAGAAATGTTTTTGCTGTCCAAATATGAGAAAGAATTGAAAGACATGTAGGACGGTTTCAGTTAAATTGAAAGAGAACTGAAAATGCTAAGAAACTGAAATGAGTTATGCGTTTCTTTGGTTTAAAGAGAAATGTTTTTACTTGATAGATATAGGACTGGCTCAGTAGTTTAGCTTTAAGGGGAGCCTAGTAATTTATATAAAGTATGCAGAAGATTTCTGTGGATGTTAAAGTCTTTATATGTGGAATTCCGTTCGTGGTTGGGAGACACGAGGGATAATTCGAATCAAAATCATAGTGAATTTTTCTATTCATTTATTTATTTATTTATTTATCTATTTATCTATTTGTTTATTCTTCAGAGCCTTTTTTATGCCTAATTATAATTGTTCTCTCATTTTATCGTGATCAGGGTATCATCAAGAACACCACTGTTGCTTATTTCCTCGGTCGAATTCATTCATTCATGCTAAAGGTTGGCGTAGACATAAACAAAATGAGGTTTAGGCAACATATGGCAAACGAAATGGCTCATTATGCATGTGACTGCTGGGACTGTGAGCTCAAAACATCTTACGTGAGTTGTCATTTGCTTTTTTCCTTTTAAAAGTATTACTTGTTTTCTTGACGTCATCTATTACTATTTGAAATGACGTCATATTCGTTAACATTTAAGACAGTGGAAGCTTTGCCAGCCATTGCGTTTGGTATGATTGGAGAAAGTATCAAACAGTTCAATTTTTTTAGTGGTTTCTTCTGTATTTATTTAAACGGGCCTACAATCCTGCAACTTTAAAAAAAGTTTTTTCCTGAGCAGTAATGCAAACAGCTTCTACTTTAATTGAAGAATTTGCTTTGAAACGGTTTTCTGAACTAGAGTGGAGTATTTCTTAAATGTTGGTGTAAGAGGAAAGTTTCACATAAATTTGAAGGAAGGGATTTACACAGAGGTGGTAGAAAGTGAGAGAATATTGTTCCAGGATATCGTAGGTAGCACAAAAAAACTACGCTTGATGCAAACATATCGTTCTCCTTACTAATACTGCCAGTATACATTTTTCAGTAGCAAACATTAAAGCCTCGCATTTAATAAGAATGCAATAAGGATCAAACTGAAGATATCAGATTTGCATTGAATAGTGAAAAATTGTGTATACATATATGTTTTTTGTCGAAAATCTTTTTACTTAATCCACTCTAGATATATGGTTTTGCTTAGACGGGAATTAATTGAGGGAGTTCTGTTTATTCGCAAGCGGATGAAAGTTGACTTTCACCGTCTCTTTTCCAGGGTTGGATCGAATGCGTCGGCTGTGCAGACAGAGCATGTTACGATTTAACGCAACATTCGAATGCAAGTGGCGAAAAACTCGTGGCACAAGTTGATCTGCCTTCTCCAATATCCTTTTCTGAATTAAGAAGAAAGTGCTTCGAATCAAACAGTTAGATATCAAGCAGTAATATATGTCCAATGCTCTGTTGTTGTCTAGATTTTACTCTCCAAATAAGAGGCCCTCGATACTCTACAACTTAAAGTAGTATTCTTTATGGCCTTCAAACATTAACGTTCGGATGAAAGCACGTGAAATCTCAGGGGAAAGCAGACTGGGTATTCAAAGTTCAAGTGCCTTTACAAAAATGCCAATACAGCTTGTTTTTTAGCCCAGTTGCGGATGCTGTCCCTGTCTCTCACAAAATTGCAAGAGTCATTCTGACTTTTTTCAGTCGATGTGTTCAATTGGAAGCAAAAGTTTGGTTTTAATTATATTTTTTAAACTGCATTGCTTTTTTGACTTGTCAAAAGTTGTTTCTTCGCTAGAGTTTCATCTTGTTTATGTCTACAGTGTGCTCGTACTTTGTTCAAATTATGGAGTATTTTGCCACGGAAAAGGTCTAAATTGTGAAATGATTGCAGAAGGATCTTTCCAAAGGTGATGTCAATTTAGGTGCGAAATTCTGGGCTGAAATTATCTTTCAAGAGGCTTGCAAGACTTTAATAAGATTTGCATCGATGAGGGCAGTTGTTTCAGTATGGCATCAGCAAGTTACTGATTGTTCCTTAATTTGTATCCAACATATCAGTCGATGTCACTGAAGCAGTAATGGATAAGGCAGCCATTGGCAAAGCATTTAAGAAAAATGCAAAGGCAGTATCGGATTTAATTTCAAAAATGAAGTCAAGCCAGATTGACGAGCTAGAAAATGCACTCAATGCCAACGGGTGAGTAGGAAGGTTTATAGGATTGCGTTCTACCCTGGACTAAGATCAGCCCCCACCATTCATTTCTAATTGGAAAACATACCCAATATTTTTCAACAACCCCCCCCCCCCCCCCTCCCTCTCTTTTCCTATACTGTTGAATTTTTAAAAGTCACGTTGGATTTAAACTGAGTTTTAATTTGTTAGTCTTGCAAGGTTTATTTCTCAAACAAGTTTTCGCCATTTTTACCACAAAAAATTTTTGGAGGATTTCTTAGCTATCAAGCACGTTGTTTACTAATACCATGCACTAATACCACAAGCATATGTTTTTAAAAAGGTCATATTTAACCTTTTATCTCAATTTCATCAATAATTTTATAAATCAAGTCAGATGGACATTGAATCTGTTTAATTTCTTAACGATTTTAAACTATTGTATCCGCTGTCTGTTATGTACAGAGTTATCATTATTATGAAAACGTTTTTTTTACTCATAGAAGATCTCTTAGTGGAAGTAAAATTCTTTTATATTTGTTTATTCGGTTTTTCAAAGGACTTACACTCTAAAATCTGGTAATGAAGAATTTCAAATTGAAAAGAAAATGTTGAAACAAGTCAAGAGATTTAAAAAAGATGTTCATGGTAAGTTTGTCAATACATTACCATCATACATTCTTTATTAACACCTCCTCAAACCCCCCTCTCCCCTTCCCCTACCCTTAAAGGCGCACCGCATTTACAGATGCATGCGCTTATAAACGATCTGTTTTTTACTCATCCCATAGAAACGTTTTCAGTTGGAATGGTTGGAATGTTTCGAGCGCATGCGAGCCAGTTTGAGTAAGTTGATTCCATAAGCTACAGAGATGCCAATGGAAGTTATTCGGGGTGTTAATGATTGCATCAAACATCTTGAAAAACCATTAGACGACTTGCCATTAGTGAGCTCGCTAAGCTAGCCTCGAATAAAGTGTGGACGGTTCTTGTTGATTTCCTTCAACTTATACGGTCGATATTTATTCTTGCTTTTCGATCGGGCATTTTGATTCTTTGGATTTCAATGGAATCAATCTCAAGGAATCCTCGCAAAGCCGGAGTGTCCGCAAGGATCAGGTGTTAAAAATCGTTTAATTTTGAGAAGATCAAAAATAAGACGGAAGATGCGCGAAAGAGTTGAGTCAACGGTAAATTGAAAAAAACCCGCAGGAATGTCGGATAAGTCCTTTAGGCTGACGTAGAAGACCCAACGGTCTTGTTTTTTAGTCTAATTATTAATGCTTTAACTCATCGGGATAGTAGGCATCTTGATATATGACCAAAACAACCCCAAAGAAAAACAACAGGATAAAGAAGTAATGTTCGCTGATATAGACTTAGATAGTGAAGGAACAACATTGAATGCCCTTTGTTATAATTGCTCAATCTAACTTCAGTTTGAGCCAACATTCGTGCAAAATAAAGTTAAATTAATCCCAAAAACATAGACGTATGCCCTTTTATTCAACAGCCTTGCTTTACTTTGAAAATTCTAAGAAATTTTTATATTAAAGATAGAAGCCAAGAAAATTAAACAGATATTTGAACAGAGAGGAGCTTCTTTCTTGAGAAGGAGTTTTATCCGTAAATTAACCAAAAAAAGCGCACCTCTTAAAACTAATCCATTAAAAACAAAATGCCTTTTTAATGGGTTTATGTCAGCAACTGTCATTTTCTTTTTCAGTTCGTGAGGTAGAGCCTCATGTTATCGAGCCATCCTTTGGAATTGGAAGGATCATGTATTCCGTCTTGGAACACAACTTCAAAGGACGTGAAGGAGATGAGCAGAGAAATGTATGTTCCGCGCTCAAGTTTTTAATATTATAATTTTAGTATTATTTAAAATTGATTTTTTACGTAACTTATATCTGGGTCATAGACAGAGGTCAAAGATCAAAAAAGGTCATACTATCCAACTCCATGCTACGTTATTTAATACTATTCACAAAGTGAAAACAATCGAATTTTCATTTTCTTGCTGTTGACGCCCTATTTCTTTTGGACTTCTACATTTCTTTAAGACTCGCTAATGTAATTTTCTATATTTTTCGGAATTTCCATCTCTTAAATTGGTTCTGTTTGACTGTTTTATTTTGGTAGTAGAGTTAGCTTAAAAAATTTATGTTTAAAAAATATTTGCTTTCGATATTTATCCCAATATGTATAGATAGATAATAAGCCGTAGCACCGGAAACTAGATTGTCTTCAAATTTTGTTTCTTTCATTTATTTAATATTGTTTCCAAAGCATTTAAAGTTTACTTTCTTGAAAGTCTGCCCCATTCTTTGACCTGCTTGCCCAGTGATAATTGACTGGTTTACTTATCAAGTATCTTTTCCTTCCTGTTGTGTAATCGGTACCCTGTTTTACAATCCTAATAAATTATTCTTTTAGTGGCTATCCTTGCCATCAATGGTTGCTCCTGTGAAATGCTCGGTGCTTCCTCTGAGCAAAAACCAAGAGTTCAACCCATTCATCCGTCAAATTTGTAAGTATATATTATATTAGGCTTTCACCTCTTCAATATTCCCCGTTTATTACTTTCACGTAGCTTGCTTGCAAATAAGGTGCCTTGCGAACATTCAGTTACTTATGACATCGATTTTGTATGTCTAAAAGTAAAATTAGGCCCATTTCTTATGCTATCCCAATTCTATGAATCGTTTTGATTCATCACACTTCACTTTCTTTTTTCTTTCCAAAAAAGATTTCCATTTTACTGGGTTGAAAACTGGCAATGAAATACCTGTTAGAATGAGGGAAATCACCCCTTCCCCACCCTAAGATTTATTAAACCGCCTGCGTCACACCAGAGAAAAAACTTTCCTTAGAGCCAATCTTAGCTCAAGCAGAATCTTTAACTGCTATTATTACATAAAATTTGTATATACTTTTTTATTTTCATTTCCTAACCTGGTGAAGTATCGTGTAAAAATATAAATCTAATAAGAAGTTAATTAAATAGATAAGATGATTACCTGTTGCAGCCAAACCAACATCGACACCTTGTGCAATGAAATTTCAAAACATTTAGTGCTGTCGTTAATGAATTATAACTTCAAACTAAGAAGCTAAATGTATATCATCATATAAGTTGATGTTGCCTCAAAAGTGGCTAAATAGGTTTGTAATTGAAGAGATGTGCCATCTCTTGGGGTGCCTCTTCTCTATAACATGCCATGGGATTTTGTGTCTTGACAATTATCTACATCTTTTCCTCGTTGTGGTACGTCCCGCCCACCCTTTTCCCTCGATTGTTGTATTAGACTGTTTCATTTGCACTTAAAAAATATGATTCTTATGCCTTGTACAATGACCTAAGCATATTCTTAAAGGAATTTAGTTAAGTGTTCATAGGATCATCAATAGTAACCTTATTGTCATTTTGGTTTCTTTAGCTGCTGCCCTGACCGAGTTAGACATATCGTGTAAGACTGACGATTCTGGCGGCTCCATTGGCAGGCGGTATGCAAGGACAGATGAGATCGGTATACCATTTGGCATCACTGTGGATTTTGAAACCGTAAGTAAAGAGCCATGTACTGTGACGCTGCGTGAACGAAACTCGGCACGACAAGTGCGATGCGAGGTAAGAACTGACGTCATCATTTTGTGTTTTGCTAAAGATTAACGGAAAATGATCAAAGCTATAATCGTCTTTTGAGCTTGTCCTCCCCTGTTTTTGCAGTCCAATTACATACACATGGAACTCGATCGTTCGTAAGGACGGGCTCATTTACTTTCGTCACTCTAACAAAACAACGATAGTGTTGTGTGGAATTGTTGTTAGAATTTGTAAGCAATTGTTAGAATTTGTCCGCTTTGCTATCGGCGTTTGGGGGAGAGGTGGAAAAAGTTGGAAAATAATAAAAAAAAGTTAGTTAGAAATGCCTGCCTTTGAAGTAAAGCGAGTGATTGTGCGGTGATGAAGTAATAATTTAAGACCCATTTTTTTGCCCTTTTCTGACAAACCCAATCAACCATCAGAAATAAACAACAAACAAGGATGTATACTCATAACTAGCAAGATATTGGCTATTGCCAGGCTGCTTAAGATCAGAATCTTTTCTTGTTTGATGAACGGGTAGTGAAAGCTTTCGTAGCTTAGATTTTAGTCCTATTTTGCTTAATTGAGATCAGTTTTGAATAAAGAACCTCAGCGAAAGTTTCAAAGATGAAACTTTGCACAAAGAAAATCACAAATGATTTTGTCTTGCTTCTTAGATTGCTGTCGTGGCAAATGTGGTCAACGATCTGATTCATGGAAAGACAACTTGGGAAGAAGTTGAGAAAAAGTTCGGGATCTTCGACAATCGTCAAGAAACTACTGAGAAATAATCTAGACAAACGAATTTATTTTAGATTGTAGTTGCAATTTTCCCATTTGACATATAGAAAAAATCCTGAAAAATTCAAACAGTATTTCTCTATTTGTAGTTCTTCAGATTTTTAGGTTATTTGTTCATTTGTTTTATTAACATATGAAGAAAATTTTTGACGAAGAAAATATGTTGCATAATAATAAGTCTGGATAGCCATAATAGGTCGGGAGAACCCTCAACAAAACGGTTTAAATATGGTGTACGGTCTTCACAATCTGAGTCACAAAATGAATTTGAAAAAGAAAAACCATGAACATTTACTAGAATATGCTTATTAAACTAGTATTTGTTTTTCTTCATTTATTTTTTTTTGCATCTCATGATATTACAATGCTATGTTTCCTAATTTTGTGCTTCCAACAAAGATATGCTTTTTTCGCATTGGACAATATTTTCTTTGCTACTTTGAACAAGAATTATTTAAAATAAAACATCCGAGTAAGATAGACAGTTTTAAATATCAAACTTTTATTTTTTCATGCGCCTTTATATAGCTTTCGCGTTTCTTCTATGCTGAATACCAATTTTCGCACTGCTTCATGGGATACGTTGTCGTTGGCTGGATGCGCTGATTGAGCTTTCTGAAAAACGGTCTAATTTTCTGAGCATTTTGGGTAGACTTTAGAACCCCGTTGTAAGGAATTGCTACTCGAATTCATCTCACCGGCCTATCTCATCTGAGTACAAAAATCTGCCTTCTTTGGGGGCACATCGGATATATATCGGCCCTTCTTTTCTGTTAATAGCTTTCACATAGCATTCAAATACTAAGCACTAAGATTTGCAATCTTCTTAATTTCTAGTTTTTACAACTCCTCTCTTTTGTTAAAAATTTTTCAACGCCTTTTCTCTCTCTTTTTAGCTATGAACTTTCGCAACCGAACACCGTAAGAAATTCTATTGACAACAAAAGCAATTGAGTAGCCACGCCCATACCAGACTAGTTATCGAAGTCTTCAAGGCTGACTAATGAACATATTTTCTGGTTTTAGGCGTGACGCTTCTTTCTTATCACTTGCCATGTCTGACATTCTTTTTAATTGATTCATTTCTGATAAATACCCATTGACCCATGTCAAAGTCATTTCTAGAGAAGGATTACGACTGTCATGACCAACACAAATTGTGACACGCTTTTGTACAGATAATGGTTTGCCGACAATTCTTTAATCCATCACTGAATTTTCTCAAAATGGATTTTTTTCAAAACAATAATACAATTTTGGTATACCTGCATTGGATTCCCAAGAGACCGGTGTTTCTATTCCGCCACCCGCCATTTAGTCGTTAACCTTATATCTTGTCTCTTGAGATTTAAGGCACTATTATCTACTTGAATAAATAAAAGTACATTAAACTCACATACTTTCCCTTTAGTCCAGATTGAAAATTATTTTCGAGAACTATCTTTTACTTCTTTTTTAACTATTTTTCCAATTTTCATTAGGTAAGAGTAAATTATTCAGCTTTGTTTCAAATATTCTCTGTGCTGTTTTTTTTGTAGATATTGTCTTTCAAACTTTTTTCAGCTTGCATGAAAAGATATGATAACATCTAATGCTATGATGTTGCAGAATTTATAGAGTATTTTGCTGAAAAAAGCTGGTTGTTGGTTCTATAGCTGTGCGGGTCAAAGATCACACTCAATTGCTTGCTGATCCACTTCGAATGAAACGAGGCCTGGAGCCGGGTTCTTTCTGCATTCTTTTCAATAAACTACAGCAGATCTGGGTATCTTTTTGCAGAAAAATGTGGATAAACAGTCTTGTAAATTGTTATGTTAGTTCTACAATACAATAAAGAAGACCCGATGTTATTTCTTTCGTGGCCTAAAGGAATCTAAGTAGGATAAAGTTCGACTTCGGTGTAGCATTATCATATTTGTTAAAAGTGGAATGAGGTTTTCCTTAGGAGGAATTAATTTTATCTGGAAATGAGGAAGAAACAAAATGTTAGAAACGTCGGATTCGTTCTTACTGCAAGAGCTCTGCTAAAATTGGCATTGATTTGCGCAATGGCGATCGGAGTGTTATGCTCGCACTGGGACCATCACCATGAGCATGACTTTGAGCATCACGATGGCCAGTACCATGAACGATTTGATGAAGCAGCGATCAGAAATGAGGACGAGCGGCATTATCATCAAGAAGAATATGCCGAGTATGCCACAAGGTATGCACAATATGGATGCCATTAGTTGGCATTGCATTGCTTCTTAAACGTATTTACAGGTCCTCTACCATAATGTAAAACCTGTTTACGTGCAGGCGAGAATCAAAATGTTGCAGTTGAAGTAGTAATTACATACCGTGTATGAGTATAGGAGATATTTTACATTAACCTTCATAGTGGGTTGACAGTATCTTTATAAATCATTGGAAAAATGAGCAGCTATTGATTATTAATCATATCTGGCAAGGGCCTCTTTGATCTGTTCATAACAGTGAATCCCTAGGAGTAAGCAATGTCCAAATAATTTCGTCATAGGAAAGTCCACATAGCTTGCCTATTCTCCCATTAGTTGCATTAATTTGTGTTATCTTGGGGGATTAGAGTATGGGGAGACATGAAACATTGGGTCAACGTAATTCTAGAAGCTTTGAGCACCTGTCTGTGCTTACTACGATTAATCTAACCATGTTGCAGGTACGCTGAAACTACGAGGGAGCATCGCCATGACCATTACGAGGCTATGAGGCGGAGTGAAGAACAACTACATGAGAGGCACGAAACACACAGAGAAAACCACTGGAATTCACGTGCCTTTATACCTAAAAGTAATTATTTGTCTTGTTTCATTTATATTGTTTTAGTTTTGCTTGCCTGTGACCGTAAATAAGGTTATCGGGCAAAAACACAGAAAAAAGGTTTACACAACTATGAATTCGGTGTGGCTTAGCATTTCACCGAAAAATTGCACTGTCGTGGGTATTGGCAAAGATTGAATCGGATTAAGTAACAAGCTGTCTTCCTTTGGTTAAGCTTTTCTGTTTAAGAATCTACTTTGCCTGACAAATATACGGGTTATATTTTAAAGGGCATTGCCTAATGGACAATCTATTGTCAAAAGGAGACACCATTGGATAGCATCAAACACCAAGTTAATTCTCAAAATACACATTGAAGATATGAAAACTGTTTGGATAAGTTTCAAAAGCACTCTGGCTCCTGTAAAAATGGGTTCTTCTTTGTGGAAACTGTACCGAAGTACAATTATCTAATGTATTCCTTGGGTGAACAAGCGTGATAACTAAAATGAGGTGCCCGTGACGATCGTGTGAGGCCCTGACGGTGAAGATATCAGAGATACAACCTCCTTGTCCTAGATCCTTTTTTGTAAGAGCCTGACATATTTAACATACTTTGTGCCAAGGCTCATTGTAACTATTTTTTCCTTGTGGTTGATGTTCTCATTGTTATTCTTCTTTTAACATTGATTTTTCTTCATTTACTCGCAATAAATTGTTTCGAAGACCACTAGAGAACAGTTTTGCATGGAAGTTTTTATTTTCTTAAAGCGAGAGAAAATTTGCAAAAATACTGTCTACCATTTTGTTATCTGAGGCTATAAATGTTCTTACGGTATTCTTATTTTTTATCAAATCGAGTCTCTTTTAAGATGGCTTTAACTTCAGAAGATTTTCGTATTACACTCACTGTTGCACCGTATTTTGTTGTCTTCAATGTTTGAGCAAGGATTGCAGCACTTAGTGTTAGCCAATCTATCATAATCATTATAGCACTGTTTATGTAAATAGTTATTACCTTAGTGTAACACATGGTTTCTAGTTGAAATGTTGTTGCCAGGCAAGTATTAAACTTACTCCATGAGCCTCTGTTTCGCTACTGCCTCACTTGACGGACGCTACAACAGAGTCTGTGCAAGTCGAAACAGAGGCTCATGGAGTAAGTCTAGGCAAGTATATATTTTGCTTGTTCACAAGCTTCTTTCCATTCGATTTTATAAATGTCTCGTAGATTCGATTCTATTTTTGAGATGTTAGTCAAGTAAGGTCAAAATTCTCTTGGATCCTACAGAGAATCAGAGAAATGACTACTTGCAATACATCAATGTAATCAGTGACCTTATGCCTGAGTAATCAAAATGATTTCCGGTGTTAATTTGCAAAAGAACAATTATAAAACTAAGTTAATAATTTGTTTGATATTACGTTTGGATTACGTAATAGGATAAGACGGTTAGAATATATTCAAAATTGCTGGAAAAGAATCATTTGGTGACTGGCGTGTGATTGCTGACATCAAAATACAGTACTGATATCAAACAAAATTGAATGCAATAAGATTTTGGTTGAGGTCCAATCTTTAAAAGAGTCGGAACGTTCAATTCCTAGGATTCGCAGTTGGAATCCAGCTTGAAATTACTTGGTAAGTAGTTTTGAGATAATTTTCGAATTTCTTTACTTTGCAGATGCAAAAAGCCGTGTCTTGGATGCAAGAAGAGCCAACAGATTTTTAAAGATTCGGAGATTCGTTCGGTAGCGATGAATTACGTCGCCTGATCGTTTTTTAAAACTTTTTATGCTGTTAAAGTCATCAACGTCAATTTAAAAGTACTGAGTGACTGAAAACTAATACATAGATTATCAACGTGTTTCACTATATCATAATAGCACTAAATAAATTCTTATACTGACATGCAGTGATTTTAAGTAAGGCAATGGTCGGGACGCTGTCCAAAGCACCAAACAGTTGGGCTTTGAGCATCTTATGTCAATCGTTAACTTTTTCGGCATTTATTTTACATAAGTGTACCCAGCAGTTGACTTTTAGAAGAACGTATAAACTTACGTATGCACTTCACTTCCTGAGAATTTCTAAACTTTCGTCTATCAGTTTCGAATATAATTTTACCTAAGAGGGACGAATTTGACATTTAATAAAAACGTTTTTCTCAAATTGATGCTTACAGCTAACATTTATCCGCTGAATGCTAACTTCAAGGCCTACGTGATATTTTGGACAATATGTTTGCTTTAAGGTCCTACCTGACATTTTGGGTTATGTTTGTTAGCTTTAAGGTCCTACCTGACATTTTGGACTACATGTCGGCCTGGCTCATCTGAGATCTTGAACTACATGTTGGCCTGGCTTTAAGGTCCTATCTGAGATCTTGGACTGATTGTTAGCTTAAAAGTCGTATCTGATATTTTGTACGCTATATTAGCTTTAAGGTCCTGCTGCACGTTTTGGAATATGCTAGCTTTAAGGTCCTATTTGATTCTAATGCCCTAGAAGACATTTTGGAACATCATTAGGCCCTGCAGTCATTCTTCCCCGTCTCTTTCTCGTAATATCCTGAACAAGCCCTTTTTTGTAACTGTCCCATTTAAGGCCTATTGTGTATTTTTGGAAAGTCTGCATTCTGCTGGGGTACCTCTTCATAGCCATACTGTTTATATAGGTGAAGAAGCTGCCTCTTTGTTGGGCTTGCAAGCTGGATTTCGGAATTCTCAGGAACTCAGTCTAAAAATAATTAAGAAAATTAGTTGAAAGTAACAGGAATATATTTGCATAAACTCTTTAATCCTTTACAGAAGTAGGGTTTCTTGAAGGTCGTACAAAGGTTTATCTAATTATATTTGTGTTCTATACTCTGTTTTTTACAAGTCCTTGATGCTTTAATGAAAATGTCTGTTAAAATAGAGCTCTGCATACTTTGATGTTTAGGACAGGACGATTATATGTCTCTACGTGAGTCGAGTTGAAAACTAGAGGCAATTGTCTCTACGTGAGTCGAGTTGAAAACTAGAGGCAATTGTCGTGTTCTTATGTCTCTGATGCTATACTTAAGATATAAGAACATGCTTGCTATTCAACAAATTGTATCAATTTCAATGAAAGTGGTCAACTATCGAACTTAATCTATGATCCTAGCATGCAAAACAGAATACATCTTCCCACAGCTAAATAAACAGCTAAAACAGTAAATATCATTTACCTTTGTCACAGTAATAACACTGCTTTTTCCAATATCTTCGTCAACCCCAAAATACTGTCCCTCTTTCAACGACTGTATTACCAAATACAAATTCTTAAATCTCTCGTATCTTCCATCGATTTTCATATTCTTCTTCACCTCATCTTCTTCGTCAACTGAAGCCAGGCTAATTTTCTCTTTCCCAAACGGCAGCCTTTCTACTACCACTGGTATTTGGCGAACCACGTGACAGTTTCCAGACATAATGAAGAAAGAGAAGTCTTGGCTCTGACGCATGTCTTTGATTATAACCTGCATTTAAACAGAAACAATGGCTTATCCAATAAAGAAGGAATCATAACAGTTGTAAACGTGTGAAAAACTTTTAGGACGAAATTTGCAATAAAGAATGCGAATTGAAAAGGAAGGCAACTTCAATCAACAATACAGGTTTTCGATTTATGAGACTTTGCAATGGTAAATTAATTGATAAGCAGTGCAATGGTAAATTGTGGAAGGCCTTAAAACCTCTGGGCCTAAAAACAAGGTTTATTCAAAACATTGTTATTGATATTTCTTAATCTTTCCAAATACTCATCAGGTTTGGTAGCTGCATCTCTTCACTGCCCGATTAAAAAGTCATAAAAAGTGCATTCTAGTATTTCTTTAGTTTCTAGGTCCGTTTGGGTGCACGGTAAATCCAGTGAGAGCGGGATTAATTTGTACATGCGTGATTCGCATGTCGAATGAAGAATAGATTTCAAAGCAACCTGATATTTCGCAGTAATGCCTTCTAGCCAGGTTTAATTCTGCAAAGTAAACAAAACCCCCACTTGACTTGATATCTACTGGACTGTACAATGTCAACTAGTTTGTTGGCAGGATGCATGGACTTCTGTCGCCAAAAGTGTTCTTTGCTGCGCTTGTTTAGAAAATTTGGGGCCCTGACCCCGGGACAATTTGGTAAGGTTTCAGCTTTTACTTTTGCAAATCTAGAAATATTCACTCCATTACTTGGATATCGTAGCTTTGAATATGTGGGTTTTGTGGCCTAAAAGTGACTGTTTAGGCACTGGAGTATCGTGACAGTGCAAGGAGATGAGGTGATGGTTTAATTTTCTCTAAAAAGGCATCTTCAAGAATTTTGATCGGTATGTAAGCTGCAGAATGAGGGTAAGGGTGGAGGTACTTTGTTATGCCTTCAGCAAGTTTTTGAGACCAACTTTTTATTTATTTATTGAAGAGCCCTAATTTTTCGCCAGTTCAATTCTGCACTCTTCACAGGGGAATTGTACTCGTGGAAACTATGACCTTCTTAATGTATTTTCGTAAGAATTAGGCTGAGCATGTTTTGGCAAATAAAGCAGGAGAGAAGGCCAGCATGAAAATAAAAAAGTAGAAAAAAGGTCCTGGATGCTGCGTTCAGAACATTACATAAGGGTTCAATTCTGTCCATGTACCTACCGAATTTGCAGGATATTCAACGATTTTTGATGATGCGTTGAGCAGCTTGATATCACTTTGAACCCACTTCTCAAACAGATCCAGCGATTGGAGAAAATTCATTTTTCGCTCCGTCTCGAGATGGTAGCTTCTCCGTAAAACCTAAAGGGTATAAAGATTGGTTGTTTCAAAAATTCTTGGATAATGCCAATATGTTTAGCGTTTCGTAGGCGTTGGAAGAAAATGCGGACCAACTTGTACGAAATAGCTCTCTTTGTTGATTTTGGCCTCAGTGAATTACGGTTAGATTTGATGGTAAACCAACAATAGGCATATCAAATAAAAACTGAACTTAATCAATTATGCATTACTTGGTTGATATTATATTTGGCCCAAACTCTTTTAAGCTCTTTAGATGGTCACATTTTGGCCTAAATCGGTTAAGAAACAATCAAATTATTTGCTGTGGTCGGAAAAAAAGTAAAAGGGGCCCCAGGGCAAAAGTAGTGGCGGTTTGGGTTAATTGTGGAGTGAATGCTTCAAGATTGAACACATATTAGAAAGACACCTCACCAAGTTTTCTAAAATAGTTCCATTGAGATTCATAAAGATTGTTTGCCCTTGGTTCTGAAACCACGCAATGTATTTTTTAAGAATCGCTTATTTTTGCAAGGTAAACACAATACCTACTTTAGTTCGATGAATAACTTTGAAAAATATGAAAAAGCACCTTGTCCACATCATGAATAAGTGCCTTTGCATATTTCCAACACCAACCAAATAGTTTGGACATATGCAAAGTATTCATGTTATTTTATGATTTATCATCAATTTTGCAAGTTAACGGACTAAAAATCCAGAACCGTTTTCCTTTTACAAGTTGATATGAAAATTTATAAAGTTTTCGGGTGTTACATTCATGTGACAAGAGAATGTGAAGAAAATATGTAGAAATGTCTGGAATTACATTTAAAGCAAGCACATCAGCCTTGTAACTTTGCTAAATTATCATCTTTAGACAGTGACATCAATAATAATGGTTGTAAACTTCTATAAAAGTCTGCCAACTTGTCTAGAGCCCCCTCTCCCCACACCAAAATGTGCTCCGGCATCAAAAAACGCAGTCTGCCCCACCTCCCCCCTCCCTCACCTATTTGCTGCTTTGCAGATATGTATACAACCTGATTTTATCTCTACTTTTGCCCAAAATCTTGCACCACCAAACGTTGCGAACAATGGAGGGAAGAGCACATTTAAGGACCGAAATTGACCACAAAGTGCAGCTGCTTGACAGATCAACTTTTAGCATTGCATAAAACTTTCCCGCACCAGATCAATTTCTTCCAAGACTTTTAAAGTAAAGTTATGCTGCAACATTCATTGAGTGCATATGATGGTTTACTGGTATAATTCATTCAGATGGATTGCTTACCTCCTCAATGTCTGTATTTTCAACTCTTAAAAATTCACATGCAGTTTTGCAGATTATTGAGGCTGTTTTCTTTGAGCCAGACATTGTTACGATTTCTCCAAATGAATCCCCGATCATCTTCTCTTGTAGAACCTCAAAATTTGATTAATCGATAAATCATGTTTGAAACTAAAAGGGCTGAATTCTCTTCCTATTAGAACTGCAAAGCAATTATTTGTTGAACAAAGTGGACAGATGCTAGACGAACTGTGAAAATAAAGTATGTTTCGCAGGTTTTATCAAATAAATATCAAAATAAAAGAGCCTCATTCCTCCTGAACTGGAAGATTTAAGACGATGGTAAGGTATTGATTTAATTTATCAAACTGATAGAAAGATTTGTAATTGAGTTACGAAATTCAGGTTCTGGCCCTTTTCCTTAAATTTCTGTACTTGCTTTCAGCACTTTCTCAGTTAAGACTCGTGAAAAACGAAGCTAGGTAGGCCTCACCAGGCAAAGAAAACTCCCCTTCAGCAAAATATTTTATCTCTAGTTGAAATTTTGTCGATTGCAGTGCTGATCTACCATGTTCAAAATGTACGAGAATACTAAAACACAAATTTGATACAGGCACGACCATGTCCCTGCAATTTTTACACTAGATATGCGTCAGTCTTCCTCGAACAATAGTCTTCATAAACAAAATAATCGCCTCAAAGTTCTTGTACTTAAATGCGACTGCTTTGAAAGCAAGAGCTCTTTCGTGGCAACTGATAACAAGCATACGTGGGATTTCTGGCTAATACTCTTCAACTAAAATTTGCAAATGAAACGAAATCTAAGAATGAATGAAGCATTCGTCAGTATATATTTCGTGAAGCTACCTGTTCTTAACTTTGCCAAGTTGATCAACTCAAGAACAATCTTTGGTGAAATATCACTTTAATTGCCAATCTCAAACAATTTTTGAGCACCTTAACGTACAATTTCTTTATCTCAAATTCATGATAACGAAAGTTTCGTCGAATTCTGTTCCATGCTTGGTTCCAACATCGCCTTCCCTACTTGCTTCTTTACGCGCAATATGTAGAATGGACTTGTGTTATAATTCTAAAGGACAATTACAGTTTTATTTTGAATTTCTATAGACTGCAATGTATAGATAATTTTGAAAACATACCTGCTTGATAAGGCCACCACGTTCTGACGTTGAAACTTCGACAGCTACTGTCCCGTTGATGATAAAATAAAGCGATGAGCCAAACTCACCTAAAAGAGCAAACATTTGCACCGCATGGCTGATAAACATGATTTTGCTAAAATCAATTCAAGACAACGCCACGCTTTTAATAGGCCTATTATTCGCTTGTTTGAAAGAGCACGACCCTTTTATCTGATACACTTTCTGAAACACTGGCTTTACAGTTATCTTAAAAACAATATATTCTCTTATTTATAAACTGACCTAGATGACATGATTCTCTGAAAATACGGGTTATTACATGTAAGGGAAGACTGTCGCCAATAGTTGCCGAAAATGGAGTTATCTATTATTTATCTTTGGGTGGTGTTATCTTTATACTGTTAAACTTTCCTATGTATAACAGCCATGATCTAAGAATATCACCAGAAATTTTTTAACCTGGATATTTGACACCAGTAATATCGTATATAATGTCTCGGTTGTTGCCTTGGCACTCTTTGCAGGGTTATATTTGAGAAGGGACCCTGTGTTAGAGTAAATTACACGCTCGTTTTCTTAGAACAACTTTATAAGAACATTAGCCTCAGAATTGGTCAAACGTTAAGAAAAAAAATTTAAAAACTAGCCGAGGCATAGGTACTGTAAAATGTGATTTTGAACAATGTTGTAAAGCTTTCTAAGAACACTTCATCTGAAAAACGGGTGATTTTTCCATCTAGGGGTGCTTTGTCGAAGCTTTTATGAAAATCACTACCTTCTCTTATCACCACAGCGCCACTTTCATTAGCACAATACTGCACCACCTTTGCTAGTTCTTTCCTCACAATATGAGAATAGGCCGCGAAAGCGTTTGTTCGGTCCACTAGATTCCAGATAAGTCCAATATCAGATTGGTTTCTTTCCTGTCCAGGTTTTACCAATGCTTTTCTTGTTCGCGTTGTTATTATGCCTTGGGGTAACGGACGGGCCTTGAATTCTGTCGAAATTAATTGAACTCTATTTAGAACGCAAAACCACAGTAGAATAACAAAAGATAGCAAATTGGTATTTATAAAGATATACTTAACCCAGATTTACGGAGCAGGGAGGCTGGGGGTTATGATCCCCCACATCTTGTCTAAACTTTTCTCCACTTTTCTCAACGCTCGCGGTGCCTTGCTTGTTGAAAAATTGTTTCGTGCTTACTCTGGTGAACCTACACGCTCAAAGTAATGAGTGAGAAGAAGAGAGGATATTTTAAAGTAGGCTGAGCGACAACAGCGCAAGTCACTTCAAGTTATAATTATTCAATAAGAGGCTTGTGCGATTGAGTTTTAATTACGAGAAATTGAGTTTCGAGAATATTTGAATTGAATCTAGTCCAAAATTATGGAACGTCTCTGTAAAGCTCGCTTTAAATGGGAATCAGTGATCATTAGGCCTACTCTAAGTTCCCTCTCGATTCTATGGATATAGATGTTCTTTACCAGTATTCAACGTACAATTTTTTAAATAGGTGACCTGACTAAACATGTCTGAGATTGCATCCTCCAAATTCATCGGGCTCTAGTACGTCGTCGCATGTAAAAAGGGGTATCCTATGTGCAAAGACGACTTAGTCGAACCGTAAAAAATGCGTACTAGAGTTGCTAACACTATGGTTTGTCCAATAATCCCGTAACAGGTTTGCACTTCTAGGAATTGCATGTGTGAGCAACCTAAACCATTGCTTGAGCAAATTCTTCTGAGGCTACCCTTTTCATTCATGAACACTGGGGCGTTCTAAAAGGAGGGAGGCAAGCGACTGCTTTTTACAGTATTCTGTTAGAAACCTGCACTTTCTCTAAATTCTCTGCTTGATCGCAAAATGTTGAACTACAGTCGAAGCCCAGTCGGATTGCGCTTATAAAATGACTCCTTAACATTCTACATCATTCGTTCAGCAGATCCACATCTACAAGATTGTAGCCATTTTTAACCTGCCATATCAAATAGAAATATAAATGGGCCTGTATTGGTTCCTAGCAACTATTAGTCTAGAGTTCTTAGTGAATTGGCAATAGGATGCTAGAAAATGTTTACCCTAGAAAAGCGTTTTCGAATATATTACCTTAATGTATGCAATAAAATGTACCTACTGTTTATTCAAACGTATTCCCATTCTCGTGTTTACATTGTGGCAAAAGAAAGCCATAGTAGAACAATTATATTAGGAAAGCAAAAGCTTTATGCTTCTACAGTTTTTAACATATTTTTTGCAGTCTTTTACAAAGAATTAACGGAATCTTTAAAATTTTCAGATAATTATTGTTCAAAATTGCGGTTTTCATATGCGTATTTTAACTATGTTAACGCGGACACGCAAATGAGCTCACAAACCATGACGATATTGTCGGCACAAAGTCCAAACGCTGCGTTTACTGACCTCCATTCCAAAATGAAGCATACAGGAGATTTTAGATTAAGAAAAACAAAGAAAATTTTACATGCGTCTATTTGCTCCCAAGTTTCTAGACATGTAACCCCAGTCCAATATGAATGTGTCGTAAAAAATACTGCATTGCATTTTTACAAGCAAATTAAAATATAATTATTTCTTTGTACAAGCTATGGTAATCTTTGTACAAATATTCGGATTAATAGGCTGTTGTAGGGCATTAAGAACAACAAGAAAATTATGGAAGAGATTTGGCCTTAACATATTTCCGATTGACATTGGGGCGAACCTCTGAGTAACCCTACTTGGGTTGATATCATCGATTCTGTATCTCGCTATCCACAGACCTTTCTCAAAAATGGACTTCAGAATTGAAATCATCGTTTTGAAATTATTCTTCATGGTCTTTGAACAGTTCGGTCGCAAGTTTTGAATATTCAGATATTTCTTTAGATTTGACCGGAAGTTGTTGCTGTAGTGAAGTAGGCATACAGCAACAAATTCCATTGAAATTAATAGGAAAAGCTTAATTTTGAAAATAAGATGATTCGCTGCCTGACGGCCCAAACAACATGAAATTTACGGCACAGACTAATTTCAACATGAAGATTCCCCAGGGCACTCAGCACATAGACATTCGGTGGGGTTAGTTCAATTTCTTGGGTCAAGTGCTTACCCAAAGTGATATTTTTGGGTACTGCAAAAACAATAAATAAAATTCTGATAATTCTAGGTATCAAATTTAGAAACACTGATATTCTTGGGTTTTTGTGAGATTTCCATATCTGAACAAACGTATTGTTCATCGGCTGAGGTTTTTTTACCCACTGCAAGTCATGTGACCATACTCTTTGGAAGTTTCTATGCTACAGCCATGTGATACTATCTCTTCTGAAATTACAATTGTGATATATTTGGGCATAAAATATAAGTAGAACTCATATTTTCGGGTCTTTTGAAAATGAGCTGATATTTTTGGGTGGCCTGTAAAATTCTTGGACTGACACCCCCGTATGTCTATGTGCTGAGTGCCCCCACCCCCTCTGGAGAAGATTCTACTTTTATGATCCATTTTTGGCAAATACGAAGATAAAAAATTGCCCGGAACAGAGCTATTGGTTGAAATCTCATTGTATTATTTTTGATTAAAGTATGTCTGTTGCTTAGTTCTAGGTTTATGTAGACGAGAATATATCATTCTTAACAAAAACAACAGGTAAAAATGATTGGAATTTGTAACAAGCCAAGTGGAGGGACCCTGCGTCTTGCGATCATAAAGATAAGAATCGATATGCTCTTGTTCATCAAAAATATTCTATGCTTGCGATACAGCTTTAGTTCATTAACAAGAAAATTAATCTTTTAATATACAAACAGCGTAGCATGGGAAATTGTTCTGTGTTTCTATGATTGCTGAAATGTGTCTTCAGAAATGCTAGGTCTAATTGAAGGAATGATTCTGGGGTATACAGAACATCAAGAAACGGGCAAACACTTATTTAATCAAGTGCCTAATGCTACTTCTAACCTGAGGGGCAATGAAACCCATGAATTTTTCCTTCTTCATAACAATTTTCTTGCAATATATTTTCTCAAATTATTAGCGGCATTCCAACCTCGCCTATCTTCAGTTTCGGTTGCTACGTTGGTACGCATGCGGGAGGCTATAACAGTCAAAAACCTCTGCATTAGAAATTCCTTGCTACATTAGGTCTTTCCAAACGTATCATATATTAGCAACTCTGAGATAACCAACCGATACGACCATTAGGCCGTAAAATACATACGCTCTTCAATATCATCGCTCCTTTCCATAACTGTAATCAAAGGTCGCCATTTACTGAATTTTGATGCGTAATGAGGAACACTAAGTCTTGATTGAATAAGTTTCCTTTCCTTTTGGCCTTTCATCCTGAGCTTTTCATTCAGTTTCCAAACAAAAAACCTCGGATCATGCAGTAATGCTTTGCTTCCCCTACCGAGAATATGCCTAGGTGGTCAAGGAAAAATCTCTTCCTGCAAAATCAATCATTGCCAGAAAATCGATATCAACGGTGATCTCTCATTTAAGGTTTAGACTTCTATTGTCTGGGAATTCCGCGAAAACCATCAGGCGTTTCTGTGAGAACCTGACCAAAGCACCTCGCGGACACTAGCTCGCAAATGTTAACAACGACTGCTCATGAAAGCATGGAACGATTGTTGACGTAAAGGACGTAAATTGCCCCTATTAATGTTATCGTTGTTCATGATTCCCTTCTTGACCAAAGTAGTGCTTCAAATCTCGGTGGTTTTCCACAGATAATAATCTTTTCTACTGATTTCATTGTTTATCAAAGTCTGTTTTGCAAATATGTGCGATTATTACCACCAATATTATACACAAAAGACAATTGCATTCTGGCAACACCGCGATTCTTTGATCGTTGTAAAATCTTGTTACGTTATGGTTAAAAGCCATTTGATTTCTAAAGAGATAGCTTTACGCCGTTGTTTAAATCTAATCAAGCTGTACACATTGAAACAGTCTTTTCAGGGCGAATAAAACGAATAAAACATCCGTTAAACATTACCAAACATTTTTGTACCAACGCTGTTGGACGATGTTTAATGACCAGGTGAAACGAATCAAACAAATGTCAAAACATCTGTGATGGTCAAGCGCTGCCGCGCAGCTTTCTACAGTTGCTGCGTTGCATTTGCCAAATTTCAACCTACTGCGCTTGCTTGCGTAAAACAAATATTTTTAGGGATGGCCAAATGAGGAATAACGAGATGTTTTACGAAATGTTTGATGGAAGTCAAGTTTTGCAAAACATCATAAAACATCGTATAACATCGTAAAACATTGTGGCAAAACGAACAAACATATTTTATGCAACAATGTTGGATGGTATTTTATGCTGATGCTAATCGTTTGGCCAGGGCTTAATGGTTCCACTTTTCGTGGTCTATTGTATTTTATGATAATTCCTGTTTATACAAAAGTGGTGATTGGGTTAAAATACCTCTGCAAGCAAACCACCCCATACATAGTTGAGTTTTGACCCCTCCACCTCCCCCTCCTGCGCCAAATATTTGAACTTGAAGCAGGATCAATGTGAAATTTTCACTCACCTTTCGGATCAAACGACACAACTTCAAAGTTTTTATTAACTGTGATATGAAAACTTGGTTTTGAATATGGTTCATTTTCCAGGATATTCTCCATCATCCAGCCATTTTTAACTTTCTTGGGACAGCCAGCCATTGCATCTGTTGGTATCGACAAATATTTACAAAAGAAGTCACATCAATGTTCTTCTCATGATGCTCATTTTCCGATGAAATAGGCCTGACATTACCGTTTTTACAATGAAAATTCTCTCCTCTTTGTCTTGCTTCCTCGAGGTTTTTCATCTACAGGTAAAAAGTATACTTTCGATTCGGCTACATGTCTGCATAGCCACAAGCAGCCCACATCCTAGAGGTAACTGAACACATAACATTGGGTTCTATTTATGAAGAACATGGTCTTCCAATAGAGAACTCCAGGATTCGAAGCAAGGCGTTTGCTTGCTGTGGACATGCTAATACTTTACTTCAGCTTTGAACTATAAATAAATTCCAATTTTAATTCTAGAAAAATATTTTTAGATTATATCAACCAAACAACCTAATTTGGCAATGATATTTTCATTCAACATTTATTCGAATTTTCTTATCAAAATGCGGTTGAAACAACATAGCTATACCTAATCTTATCTTCCATAAAATCTCAAAGGCCTACTACGTTCGTTTAGATAGTACCTATGTGATATATGCTTATGAAGACGTGTTCTTTGCAAATCAAGATTTGGAAGTACGTCATCAATAAACCAATCGAAAAGAGTAAAGAGGAATAACAATATTAGGCAATGAGCAGTGAGAAAGTATGGCAAATCAGTGACGTGAAATGATACTGTACAACTAATTCCCTTATCTCTATTCAAAAATGCACTTCTTATCTGTTTTCGAATACCAAATGCTTGATAAGGAGTTTGAAACGACGCCTTGTTCTCTTTCTGGGTACCGGACTTACGCAACCATTACATTATCACATCAAGTGATCTTTCATGATAACTTTCTGTTTTGATATGCTGGCAAATATATCCTCTGAACTACAGGTGGTCACTGTTGAATGTTCAATCAGGAAGCATAGAGTGACGCTGATTTTAGGAACAGTATCTACGTAAAGAATAACTCGTACATGTGTTATATTAACCGAAAATGTCTCTTTTAGCTTGTAGAAAACATTCATTGAATAAGCAGCTGTTGCATAAGCCGTGAAACTAACAATTATACCTTCAGCACGAGGTTAACGGTATACTCTAGTACAGTCAAAGAAACTATATTTCAAGAAACTCTTGGAATGGTGGAACTTTATCGAATTGAAATTACACCATTGCAAAATTTGACAAAGGAAGCATTGCAGCTTCTCTGAAGCTAGCATAAACAAAAATAGAGCTTGAGCGAAATTGACAAGGACAGTTGTATTGATTGCGCGGCTTCCCGCGGGACAGTTGTACAGAAGTTAAAAAGCTTGGCAGACTCAAGCATATTTTTACTGTAGCTGAATTACTTCGCATGAAAGGCTTGGCAATGGGAAGGAGGCAGAAGGCAATGGCATTGGCGAATTAACAAATTTTACGTCACAATAAATAAGCATTAATGTCCAACAAAAAACGTTTTTTCTAAAGACTTACGAAAAAAAGTCATAAGTCACGGCTTGTCTATTTGGTAAAATATCGCAATTGTAATGAAGCAGCACTATAGACTGAAACTGCCCTCCATTGAAGATGGCAATCTGATATCGAAATTCGCACGACAGGACGGCCATGACATCTATAACTCAGTAACGATCGAAGAAGAATGGACCGAGCAGTCGACGTCTGGAGAGAATTCAGGCAGTGATGATGTCAACACTTCTCTTTCATTGAGACGTTGTAGGAGGAAGAATGTGCATACACTAAAAGGGATAGCAAGTGCCATCCTTGCACAGAGGTGTTGGGCAAAAGAAGTGCGACGAAAATGGGAGACTGAGCTTAAGGAGGTATCCAATACAAAAGAACAAGACAAGCTGTCAATCACATTCAATGCTAAAGGTGAAAATCATTTTGTTTTGATGTCAACAAAGCAAGCTTACATTTGTCATTATTTATTCTAGTTCTGCTTTTACTCTGTTACCTGTAGTAATATTACAATCAATAAAAATCTCGCCCCAGTCTTCAGAGTGCACACCATTTCAACGGCCCATGTCACTACAAATAATATCCGTTGCATCTGCAGTACAGTAGTTTCGTGGAACTCTAATGACTTGAGTAGCAGTCTTCCTTTCAAAGTCTTTGAGACAGTTCTAACTGACGTCAGTTTCAGTTTCATTTTCTTTAAATCCCACTACATAGAATTTATCACAAAAATCCAACAAATAAATTAGCTAAACTGCAAGAAAATAAGACCAAGTTACAGAAAAACATACATCGGTTGGTGAAATTATTAGCATAATTAAAGGAAACAAAGAGAGTAAGACCAATTGTGTGGAAGGAATTTCTTAAGAAGGAGCTCTCTCAGTAGGCAAGCTAATCGAGGAGAACACACGTCACCAGACGTCACCATAAAATCGAACCTTATCTTGAGCTATCTCCACTGTCTTTAGGGGCACTGTTTTCCCTAACTGGAATTGCTTAACGTTTGCCAATGTCATCATGAAAGAGCTATCTTATATCAATAGCAAAGTTTATTAGTAGGTTATGTAGAGCACACAGCTTCAGAGGATACATTGGGTTCAATATGCTTGATAAGGGCGTAAAGGATAGATTTGTGCATTGCTAATATCATCTTTGGTGTTTTTCTAGCAGATATCTTCTCTCATGTTTGTTTTTGTTTATGAGATTCTCTTTTAAATAATAGTCTATACAAGGCTTATTATAAGAAGTCGTGACAGTGAGAGGTTTCCTGAAAGTTTTACATGGACGATTTCTTTAGTGTAAATACAATCAATTTTTTTTAACGCAAACAGTCTTCGAGCCTATTGTTTTGCGGGTTTATATCTATCCTCTAAAGCATGGACTAGTTCTTCATTTATGATATTTTGGTCGAAATATTCAAAACCCAGCGAAATTCGTAACAGTCAAAGGGACTACTTTTGCACAAATCATAATGTTGATACTTAGCGATACCAGACTATCAGTGTTGATTAAAATTTCGGTTGCAATTACTTGAAACAGCTACTTTGCAAACTCTTTGCGTAAATAAACGATGGTAGCTTGGTTGCTCAAAGGCTTGGAAATTTGTATATAGTGTAAATGTTGGCTTTCAATTAGGGACAAGAAGCAGATCCTAATATATAGCAACACATAGTACAGGGCGTGAAAGTTTGTGATGCCCTTAAAGTTTCTGATGTCTAATGTTGTGTATTTAAAGCTCTATTTCTGTTTTTCTTCTTTTAAAGCTTTCAAAGCGCATATTCAAGCTTGTGGGGCAATTTCCGAAGAAATGAGAAGAATTCTTCGCAAATTTTCAAAATTCAGAACAGATGACGAGGTGAAGGTTATCGGGAGACTTGTTAATCGCCTCAAGGTGTTTGAGAAATACCCGATTATGGTTAAAGAAGAGCTTGGCAGAATTCTTTACTTCGACGTATTTGAGGATGGAAGAATTATCACAAAGCAAGGTGACATTGTACTGAAATAAAACTCTATTCCAGTAGTCAAAATTCGTAAACACGGTCACATTACCATCATTTTTCGAGACACTTTCTCAAGTGTTATATTATTGCCATATAAATTAAAATTTATCATGCAATGTGATCCACCTTTTTTAACGCTGTTTAAAGTTACAATGCTTACACAGACGAACTTTTTTGGCGGAAATATGATGACAATGATATGACAATATATAACTGTGTAAACAATACATTATAAGTGCAAACAATTGTAGAATTAATTGCTGGTAGTCAGTTGAGTTTTAAGAGTCTAGATAGCTCGCAATTCAAAGAATACTTGTAATCTGACTATGAAAGCTTTCTTGCCAGGCCAGTCTGGAATCTCATTTTACTTCATTGTCACCGGAACAGTGCTGGTCGAGCGGATTGAAGTAGACAAACAAACCGGACTTAGGCATATACAGGTTTGTCCAACTGTTCTATGTGCACACTTTGCCAGTTCTGTTATTAATGAAATACAAAATGTCTTTTATTGACAGTTAAGAGTAATGAAAAGCATCACTAGATAAGAAACATGTATTGTTCTTTTCAATTTCTTTAGGGGTACAGAATCCATTGACTTTCTAAAGTTTGTTTTTAGAGAGTTGATGAGTTAGGCCAAGGAGACTCATTTGGCGAGCTTGCATTGCTGCATAGTAACACAAAGAGAGCTGCCTCCATGATTTGTCGTGGACTCTGCGAGTTTCTTCGCATCGATCGAGGCGAATTTGAAGATGTGAGTTATTCCATTTAACAGATCTGAAGGAACGTAAGAAAATGCTTAGTATGATTTCGGTAAAGGGAAGGTTTCGAAATCATGTGAATGTATCTAGAGATTTTTCAAAATGGAACAGCAAAACTTCTAATGGAAATGCTGAAAATTTCTTAGGAAAAGTTGGACTTTGTTCGATGGCGGAAAATGGCATTAAGTTTGCATTTCATAAAAGTTTCCTCTTTACCCGTTCAATAACGGCTTGTAACTACATAAATATGAATGAATTATAAACTACAGTTTCAAACTGCTTTCTGTCATAAGCATTCGATGCCGTATTGGCAGAGTACAAGCCTCGATGTATAGATTAGAAAAGTTTTACGTTGCAACTCCGAGTTTTATACTTAATGCGATCATCAGATAAACAGGAAAGGGTCTATCTCAGCACATTGGGGTACACCATTAATTATGGGAGCTTTTCCAGTAAAATTTTTTGTCATCTAACAATCGAGGTATCAGAAGATAGATAAGATAAGCTTTTAAAGCGATAAAGAATATTTTATCGTTTGAAGTCAATAGAATATGATGGAAGGTGAGTTATGGCCTTTTTCTTGTTATAGGTTCTTCAGAGATGTCGTGAAAAAGAATGGAGTCAAAGGGCGACTGTTCTTAGTGAACTGAATGCTCTTTCTGGATATTCTCCGAGAGACTTGATGGTTCTGAACAGTAATGCGAAGTATGATTCATACCCACCGAATTCGGTATGTGACAACCAGACGTAGAATATATATATATCTAAGGGAACCCTTTACTTAAGATATGGGGGTGTATGTAGCTGATAAGCAAGGGCGCATGCGTAGCATGAGCGATTAGGCACTCCCTTGACTTTCGAAGGGACTCCTAAGTTTCTGAAATACTAATACTTGAACAAAAGCTACACTCCAAATTTCAAATGGCAAGTAGCAGATGCTTCATATGTAGCCCGACACACGTTCCCACTCACCCATATCCAGATATAAATTTCAGTGTTCAGGGGGCACTGATAGTGATTAAGCCTTCTACCCACTTTCGAATATCCTCTATCCCCTTAATTTACTTGAGGCTGAAAGAATTGCTATCGCCCGTTCATAATATTGCAGAGCAGAAAAACACCGATACTGCCATGGAGATTTTCTATCTCGTTTTTTTATGTAGATAGATACAAACATTCATTTAAAATGATACTTGACTTGTTCTTTACCTAGATCATTCTTGGTAGCTTAAAGCAAAGACCGGACAGAGTATTTTTCGTTGTGTCTGGGACATGTAATGTTGTCAGGGAACTGATTGTCATAAAAAGACAAGCGACACATAAAAAATACAAATACATACTTCCTTCGCATGAATTTATTTTACGCTACAGAGCCGGGGAAACAACATTAGACAATGCAAGTGACACTTTGGAAACCCATTTCCTCATCGTCAACAAACTAACAAAAGGGGATGTTTTTAACATACATGATAGTACACATGATGTCTATTATATTAGCGAGCAAAAGGTGAGTAGAAAAAACCAGCAGATTAATGCACCTTTCTTCGGGGCTAAATGCAGGGCTGGATTAAGGTCAAATGAGGTCATGTGCTTGTTACGTTATGTGGCCCATTAGGCCCTGAATGAGGTAGCTCCAGCACTCATATCCAGCGGGATTTTGAAAAAGTATTTGGAAGAAAAATTGGACCCCAGGCTAACGTTGCCTTGCCCATAAGAACACCTTAGCACATTGGTAAATTCGAGTTATAAATTCGAGTCGAGGCTAAATGGAGTTATAAGATAAAGAGATATTGGCACGAAGTTTCGTTTTAATGAATTATTGTTATTATCCTTTGTACTGGAATTTTTCGAAAATCGGCGCAAAAATTAAAAAGATCCACAAGGGGGTTTTTAGAAAGATAGACTGTGCAAGATCTTATAAAGACCTTGTTATGTTTCTAGAGCTTTGAAATGGAACGAGAATTTCTAGTCTCAAAACTAAACCTTGTAGAAATGTCTACAAAGACCCTCATGAAAAGCACCCTCGAGTGACTGCGGCCATCCTCTGTAAATATTCACTCGAAACTAGATACTTCTTTCACAAGGTTAATTTAAAAAACAAAAGGACAGCAAGAGAACAAAAAAGTAATTATTCACAAACGAAACCAGGCTACTTTCGGATCAAAAAGCCTCCTGTTTTTAGGACCAAACATTTGGGATGGTTTGCTAATACATTACATGAAAATATCCAATATCTAAAACCTTATACAATAAAGAGAGGGGCGAACTTTCGGTTGTAATGTTTGTAGTTAGCAACTAGCATATGCTTTTCAAATAGTTTTAAATAAGGTAATAAACAAACAAACGTATTACCTTGTACATATTTTCGATTTTTTGCTTTTTATAGACTGACGTCATCCATATTGCAATAGCATCACTTGCTAGGCCAATGGAAAGTTTCGAGGGAATGAAGGAGCAATTTGCGAAGAGGATTCCAAGCAGAGAGAAAGTTTTCAATGACATGGTAGCTGAAGTCAAATGGAATTGCTTCAAACGAAATTTGGCTAGGCATGTTATATCGCAAAACAAAAAGAGGCAAGTCATATCAAAGAAATCGCCATACTACGATCAACCAGATATAATATGAACGATATAAACGTTTTGTTACCACCTTAATTTTCATGTATTTAAACATAGATCATAAAAAAGCAAGAAAATCTATTCATTGTGTCCATCAATCTTAAATTGTGTCCTTAGAAACTGAAATCGTAATAATGAAAGGTGAACTAAATTGTTTTTTACAAACTGAAAGTGATGGAAATATGGAGAAGAAATTCAAATAGGTGTAGAAAGTAGGAACTTATGGAAGAGCCCTAATTTGTTTACTATAGTCATAAGTCAGGACTTTCACTGATATTACGTCGTGTTTACTGGAGTTGTAACTGACATCAGGCATCAGTGTTCCAAGACTTTTGGCAGGCATTGTACCTATTAATAAATGTGTAGGTTAGCCAGTTTTATATATTTTCGTTCTCTTTAATGGCAGAGTATTTGCACCAAAAACAGAATTTTATCTGGCAGAAATTATGGGTTACATAAATTTGCATTTACATCCGAAGTAAGCCAGGGCCTTTTAACCTATTAGCTAGGGGCCAATTGCCCCTGCAACCCAAGTGGCTTTCTATTATCCCCTTCTTTATAAAAGCAAATGTCTGCCCCGTAAAGGCTTTGAAGTAAGCAAAGCATTACAATAAGATATTTGTTACGTGATGAAACAATTTTATGACCAAAGTCTGGTAATATTTTTCGGACATGAAATGACGTCAAATGAACCACGTGGGAAAACTTTATCCAATCAGCTTACACGAAAAATCAAAATTTTGCACAATCATGAGGAGAAAACATCAACAGCAACATTATGTGGGTAAAATATTCTGAGAAGAGAGAATGGCGGCTGTGGACGAACGGAAAAGTGGGAAAAGTGTAAAAAGCGAGCCGAAATGGATACCTGAAAGCGAGAAAGCAGAGAGCTCTGCAGAAAAACTACTGAGAAAAAGCAAAAAGGAACCTTTTGTACCAATTGGTAAGTAGAGCACCATCGTTTTGGTTGTGAACCTTTTTATCGCAAGACGGTTCGAAAGTCAGACAGTTGCATAATTACAGGACCCTCATCGTATTTATAATTGTATTTGTATTTGTTGCTACCTAGCATCTTAAGGTAGTTTTTAGGATACTGAGAAGCTATGCTTATCGAGCAGTGTCCTGGTCCTTCCTCTCGATGTGACCACACCTCGTGATTCCTAACCATACTGGAAAGTATGAAGTGAATCTGGTACGCCACATATGTATGCCATAGATAATCCATCATGCGCCAAGTAGCGCCGGTACTCTACTCCATCCACTCCGCCAATTGTTAACTTTACGCAAACAGGTCCACACTGACATTTTAGGGCCTCGGGCCCAGGTATTTACGAAGCATAAGCTTTGCCACTTGAAAATTAATCAATGAGGCGAACAAATACATTTTTACTGTGTCTTTGAAAAATTAGAATTTATTTGCTTGACATTCTATGCTTAATAAATATGCGTCCTTTATCATAAAAATCGTCTCGATATTCCTACTACCCGAGGCGTCATCATGGTTGCCGCAGAAGGGTAAGAAAATTTTTCGAATATGAGTGGTCCCAGTTCACTGGAAAATGAACTCTTGCTCTACTACCATACACTGTCTATTTTATTAAATGGTACCTGATAGTTCTGTCAGTAGTGTGGTTAATGTTTAAACAAGGACCTTTCAAATATCATTCTTATATGGATTTAATGTTAAAGCCTTAGTGTGCATGATGTAGCCATTTGCTTTTCGCTACAAGTCTCATTTACACAATGCAATTTTGGCTCATGAGTTTTAAACTTTAATGATTGTTGCCAGTGGAAATATTACTTCCAAATAGATTGTATAAATGCTATAGCACAAATTAATCAGATAAAGATAGATTAATACATTTTTTGATAAAGGTTTTTCCTTTGTTTTGCAGGATTTGCAGGTCTTCTTGCAGCTGTTGGCTATGGCATCTATGGTTATAAAAACAGAGGACCAATGAGCACAAGTAGATACTTGATGAGACTGAGGGTAATTGCCCAAAGTTGTGTTGTAGGCTCAATTTTAGTTGGTGTGACTTATGCAGCGTTCAATGACAGCAGTGACAAGAAGGACAAAAAGTGAAGGCTAGAGCAATGTTAGATTTTCAGCTTTAGGGCCATGACTGTTACCTTATGGAATGAAATATTTGGTGGACATTTATCTGGAGCTGGTCTCTTTGTACTCTGAACAAGTATCAGCATTAAAAAGAAAGATTACATCAGAGAAAGCTAAATGGCTCAAATATGAATATTTTTTGTTGGTGAGGAGAATTTCCTAGAGAGGCAAAAAGTCTTTTCAGATATCACACACTTATAAATTAGATTTGCAGTCATATGCCATAAATTTTAATAGAAAATTGTGTATGTCAAACATTATTTATATATAGAATATTCAAATATAGCAAAGAGGAGAACCTATTCATTCATTTATCAGTTTTAACCTAAAAAGTACAGAAGATTGTTGGTCATTTACTTCACTGAATCTTCTATTTGAAACCTGATGCTTGAGTTGTTCTTCTTGCTTCACAGAAGTTGCAAATATTAACTTGAAGCAATGAGGGCCCATCTACAACTATTAATTTAATCCAGTTAGATGAAAATTTTTTCATTTGTACTATTGTTGCTCTTATTTGGGGTCAATGTCATAAAAACGACAAAACATTAATAGTCTTAATTGCCCTTGATCCCTATAACAACGTAGTCAATGTAAAATATTTTCTATTGACTTTGGTAACAACCAAGATCATAGGCCAGAGAAACAACTTTTTCTTTAAAACTAAGTCTGAACAACATTAAAAATGTGTGTATTTATTTACAACAAACTGTTCCCAAAGGTTTTACAAAATATGTCACAGGGTAACAATAAAACAAAAACAACTATAAACACTATTTAATTTGTATGTGAAAGTACACATAAAATTAAGTAACATTATAACAGAAGATTTGACTCAGCATACAAAATAAAAAGAAACCACAAATCATTACAATACACACAAGAAATACCATCTGAAATAGCAAGAGGAGGCATGTGGTCCCAATACTTTAAAAAAATGTTGAACAACCTTCCATTTTATCGGATCTAGCAACTTTATAGTGTCAAAATTTGTCATAGGAAATTGTATTGATTAATACTAATTTGAGTAAAATAATCTAATCTTTAATTTGACATTTGATAACCTTAGGCTGAATTCACACTAGCAGCCACATGTCATATAGCATTTTTTTCAAGAATTGAATTCAACTGTTCACATTGACTGTGTCATTGTGTTTTGTTTTAAAAAAACACACAATTGCAGTAAGATTGAGTTGATTTTGGGTTAGGTCGTGCAAATTTGAAAAATGCAAACTAAAGAATTAAAGGCTCCTTGAAGCGGAAACTTGGATATGCTCTTTGTATTTCAACTAACTATGTATGTCTCGATCTACGTTTGACGTTTTTTGGTTTATGACAGACCCATCAGAACTGGGGGCCTGGAGCCCCAATAATTGTCAAACTGTGGTATGTTTCCTCTATAATAGTGTACTGAATGAGAAGGAAAACAATGGGCAGCCCCCTGTCTGCCCCCCCCCCCCCCACCAATATGAATTTTGTTCTGACGGCACTGTATAGGGTCAGCATAATTCTGATTTAAGGGGCTTCGAGGGAAGCATTCTTTGTTAATTTTCCTCACTTAAAGAATAGTTGTATGAAATAGCATTTGAAATACTGATATAGGCTCAGCAGCAATTCAATGGAACGCCATTTGAATGTTTTCAATAGAATGGTCATGCTTCCCACTTCTCTGTGATTTTAAAAGCAAACAAAACTTGGTAAATACAATTTTCCCACATTATGACACATTGTCCTAAAAAACACTTTATGCACAATTTTTCAAAAATGAGAACCTTGTTTGGACAGCTCAAGAAACATGTCTAGTGTGAATTCAGCTTTAGGGATCATAAAAAAGTTCCACATTGGTAAAAACTATAATTGATAATGCTATAACTAGAATTCACTATTCACCACCATTGTTCATAATTAATGTCAGTAGAGTTAACTCCATTCTCCTTTAAGATTTGAATCATATTTTGAATCATTGGAGGAGGCCCACAAAGAAAGCATTGTACACCTTGTTTACCAGTAGACAGTGTCTTCAAAGCATTTGAAACATCCACTGCATTTATTCTTTTGCCTAAAAATAGTTTCAACTCTTAATCAAATACCAGAATTTCAAACATTTGCTGGTGTGGTGCTTATAACTTGAATTTTGATGATAATTCCTGTGTAGTTTACTGGGCTTTAAGTAATGTGATACCACACCATTGCAATTTAAAGTGAATCAAAATTTACATAGAAACTTAAGACTTCTACAGGTCATGTTTCAATATTTTTCCAAACTGCTAAGCCAAAATTATAATCCAACAGTTACAAATTCTAATTTTTTTGCTGTTAGGCATAAGAACTACAAAAGGAAGGATCCTGCATGATCATGAATACAAGGATAATTAAACCATTTGATCCTTAATTAAGTTTGATCCAAAGCTGAATAATTTGTTTATGATTAGATTAATTCTACAAAATGATAATAAGATGATTAAAAACATCTGTTTGCAAAGCAAACACAAAATGAGCATTACCATTAGCTTCCTTTGTAGTGGAAAAATGGCATGATATTGTTGGTGATTTATTACTTAGCAAGTCAAGCTCTTTCTGTGAAAAAAAGGAAAATCAATTATTCTTGCATAATTGCATATAATATACATGATATTAAAATATGTTAAATTAAAAATGGTACTGCAATGAAATGTAAACTTTTGAGGAGTTGATTCTCCAATTTTCATTTGTCAGATGTTTTTGCATTATGATAGAAATAGATATGACTCAGCAAAATGCATTTTTATGATTTGGATTTAGAACTCATTTTCATCTCAACTATCTAGAGAAACAACTTTTAAATACCTTCAAAAAGAAAAAATGACATTACATGAGTTTTACATGAGCATGTCTGTTATTAAAATTTTTCCTCTGCGGCTAAGATAGCTCCGTACATAAATATTTTACTATTTACAATTCACTGTTGCAAATATAACCAAATCTGAAACTAACCTTGAAAATCAATCCATCTGTTGTACTGGAAGAGTACAGTAGCACAGATTTGCCTACATCATGACCATTCTCATTAAAAGAAGACTTTGAATCTTCTATATGTTGCAAGATTGAAAAAATTGGATTTATGCCAATGCCACCAGCTATAAGTAAGGTATTTTTCCTACTTCCAGGGCTTCTGGGATCCCAAACACATTCCCCACCAACTTTCAATGACACAATGTCACCAACTTTGCACTGTTAATAAAATTTTCTAATCTCAAGAAAGGCAACAAGAACTAAAACTACTTAATGGGATGCTAAACTCAAAAAGGCTGAAAATTTTACTCTTCAATATGCAGTTGAAATGAATTGGTATGAAAAAAGGAACAGTGTCAAAGAAAAATATCTTCACTTGCTTCCAAACCTTTTTATGAATCCAGTGAGCAGGAGGATGGGTGCTATACTTGACAGCAAGACCTAAAACCTTTGATTTTTCTAGCATTCTTGGACTTGTATACATTGAAAATCCACCAACTACATCCAAATTGGGAATAAAAAAGTCAACCCTAAAAATGATAAATTATGCATTTAGGAATATGTTTACTTTATTATCATGAAGCTACATTGTTGACATTACAAGCAGAGGGCTGGAGTGTTTGCAGGTTATTTATACCTATAAGGGTGTATGACCATTAAGTAATGGGTTTTACACTGTCCATCCCTAAGCAGTGTAAATAGCTCATAAAGACTGCATCCCTCGCAAAGCCTACAGTAATCCTTGAGCAGCCATTCTTATTATACCCATTCAAGAGGCAATAGCATTAAGATATATTGGAATCAAAAATCTTTTGCATCTATATTGCCAGCAAACATATTTTGTTAAAATTGAAAGGAAACAACTTCCCTTGACATGAAAATGTGATTCATCTACTCACCCTTTTTCGAATAATTTTTTCCCGTTTATAGACAATGGTAATTTTTTTCTTAAGTATGGAAAGATCCCTCTTATGCCACAACTCCTAATGTGATTTGTTTCAGGGGTATTTAGTTTCATAATGATTTGAAAACAATAAAGAAAGTGAGTTTTATAATGATTACCATTGCCCTGCCATAAAAGAAAAATTTTCATTCTTTACTTGGAGCTTCAAAGCCTTCACTGTAGGCGAAATATCTTGAATCTGTATGACAGAGGCATCAGATGTTACCTAGAGAAAAAAATCTGTCCTTTATAAAATTTGTAATTCATGGAGACTGTTTAATGATCTAAATTTTCAATGAAGTCTTAAGAATTGTATTTGCTATAAAAATTCATAATAAAGTTGGGAAGAGTAATTAAATATTGTGGTAACCTCTGCCCTCCTGACATCTGCTGTTCTTTCTAGATGATTAGACATATTTCTTGACATTCTAAAAATAAGATGTGGTATATCATTAAAAATTTAGCCTTTAACAAAACATAACATCATGGCTGGTTTTTTATGGCAAATTCTTGCAAATAACCTAATAAAAAATTGATTATTGTTCAATCTTTCATATTAAGTCATTGAAAACAAGCTAGGAACTTGAAATAGATCTGTATTTACGCAGCTCCATATCATTGTCAATTTCCTTAAAGAAGTCAAAGTGGAAGAAAAAATAAAAGGTTAGGAGTAACGGAAAATCTTAAATGACAATGTTAACTTGTTTTATACAGTGACTGACAACACACTTATAGCATGACTTTTTTCTAAGAACTAGCTTTTTAACCTGTTTAGCATTCTTTAAAACCTCAGATCAAAAGCTTTCCCTAACCAAATGTTGGTATCTTCAAGTTATAAAATCTTAAAAATATACCTGCATGAGCACAATACCTCACTGAAATGCTTCCATGTCTGCCTGAAAGGAATTGTTGTGTTTGACAAGCGAAAGTCTGAAGTACAGTTAAAACCAAAATTGCTGTATCTACTCATTTTAACTCGGATTCACGTGATTTGTTATATAACATAACACAACACGGAATTAAGTTGTATGCTTCAAAATCAATATGGGGTTAAAATGAATAAAATCAATGCTATTTATTGCAATGGTATAGAATAAGCAATCACTGATGATACTTCATAGGCTTACATGCGCATAGCTATCTTTCCGCAAATGGCAATGTCTTCTTTATTGAATCTTGAACAGCTGATATGGCTGCCATGATACGGCCTCTCTCCGGAGTCGCGCCAATAATTGGCAAGCAACAACAACACTTGTTTGAGTTTGTTGATCTCGCTGGGTAAGTCACTGGGCGGAGAGGTTTGGCAAGCATTTGCGAGGTAAATATTAAGAAAAATACATTTCCAGCGGCTTTTAGCTCATTTCTAGCTTTACTGCTTATTTGCAAATTTTTGCTATTTCCCACGATAGTTTTGTTAGCATGTTTTCAATAAAATTTGAAACCTATCTTTGCTGGTGCAAAGGCTAATCTAATTCAAATATGCTCCTAACCTCTTATACAATATTAAAGTAAAGGTTTTAATTGTTTCGCAAATTGTTACCACTGATGGCTGCTAATAATATCTGCTATTCTTTATTGCTCTTGAGACAGCCCTTTATCAACAAAGACTGACAAGGCAGTTGCCCGCTATGGGGCCAGACTGCAAAGTATGGCAAGTCTTCAGCCGAGATATTTTTTTTAAATGTTCCTGCACACCTGTGTGGCATTTGGTGATTAGGGCGTGACAAGGGTGTGGCATTTGGTGATTAGGGCGTGACATGGGTGTGATGAAGAATCAAGCCAGGGTGCATTTCATGTTAACTATACACCGAAGGTCCACTGGAGAATTTTTTTAGGTATGCTGCCAGACAGCTTTTTCTCACAGAACCTTATGTCAGGAAAGCCAAAATAAAGCGGTAAAAGCGATATATGTCTAGGGATGGATATACCGAGGGGTGTTGGGGGTGAACACCCCCCAATATTTCAATGCAACACACATTACAACTTTGGAAAATCACTTTTTACACAAAGTGCTTCCTCGCCTTTTAAATTTAGGATATAAACGTTAGTGGATGTAAAGTTAGAAATGATGTTATTTACATCAAATAGATCAAAAGGATACATAAATTTGATTGTTCACATTGTGTAATAGTTTTCCTATGCGAATTCTCAAAAATCTTAAATGCAAAAAATTTCCTCGTGACTAAATTTCATCTCATTTTGACTTTTGTTGAAGAAATTTTTGTCAAATTATTTGTCAGAAATTTTGTCCATGACAAAATTTGTTGTAGCTAATGTAATAGAGAAAACTGTAGTGTATGAGTTTTAATTATATTTTTTTCATGTTAACTATCTACATGTCTTCCTGTTTTACATCACGTTCTACATGAGCCAACAATTTTTCACTGATTGGCATGCCAATCATCAACAAAAACCGCCAAATATCTTCTGGCTTAAGTACATGGACTGCACCCTGGGAATAAAATTCCCTCAAATCAACATAATCTTGCAATGGTTTGATAACAAAATAACTATCAATCATGTACAGTTTCTTGTTTTCGTTCATTTTTCCTTCTTGATTGATTGATTTCCTTGAGCTCTGGCACAGTTTTGCACAGTTTTACCCACAAATGAAGTTCACACTTCTACCAAAGTGGACACTTGCACACTTGAAATTGTTCTTGTATCCCTGATATCTTTTGGGAAACTGCCATACACTGTAGCCTGGGTATGGGGTTTTGCTTTACACACAGATTCTAGCCAAAAGCTACCCAGAAAAAATTGTTAAATTGGCATATTTGATAGATGCTTTTTATTTTCCATTGCCTTTACCAGATACCTTTTTCGAGTGTAACAGAACAGTAAAATAGCTATAAAAATGAAAAAGATGCCATTAGCTAGGCCAACGATTTGCAAGTTTTTCAGATTAAGGATTTTCCAATCATTCATGTTACATTGTACTTGATAATTAATCCATTTCAATTATCACTCTATGCTCCATTCTGTTTTATTACAGGCAATGAATTTGCTTCGAGGAATCCTTTGTTTATTTGCAAGTTATATCCCATTAGCTCTTGGTTCATATGGAGACAGGCATTACAGCTTTCAGAGCTGCCTCAGCTCCAATAAACCCAGGTGCAATGAGCAAGGCTATCCAGCCATCCTTCCTTGGTACCTTAGAATTTTTGGCTGGCAGTGTCTAGATGAACTAAAATACCAGTGCATGCATAAAACAACAGAAATGATCTTGGAAAAAAATGGTCCTGTCTTTCAATATTATGGGAAGGTATTCATAATTTTCCTTTTCATTTCTCTTCTTTATATTTTTCAAAACAGTTTTTTCCCATCTGAATTTAGAGTCACATGGGAGAACAATTAAGGTCATGAGTTTATAGCAAATGTTTTATAGTACAAAAGCTATTTCAAAATCATAATAAGTTCTTTAATGTATTGCATAACTTTATTTCCTGCTAAAATACTTAGAAAGATGGGTAACATTTTACATCGTTATATTATCAGAAGACATAGGTTGATTAAAAATGATTACTAATTGATAGTGCGGGAAAATAACCAACGCGAGCGAGGCTTGAACTCACGACCCCTGACTTTGTACGTCAAGTGCTCTGCCACTGAGCTATCAGGTCGTGCTTTCAAGCCATCACCCAAGGCAGAGTCATTTGCCTGCACTGCCCCTCTCTTTTACCGAATACACAGGGAGCCATTGCAGCTCCACCACTGGATAGGGTTGAAGAGAAAGTGTAAAGACAACAAGATCTTAAAGACAACTAATAGATAAATGATTATTTATATAAAAATGATTATTTATCTACTTCAAAAGGTCAATTATATATTAACCCCTTTCCATGCTCTCAAACTGTTTTAGATGTTCAAAAATTTATTTAACACCCCCTCTCTTGTTGCATTAAGTTTCAGGGCCTATCTTTGAGAAAATATCTGAGACAAATAAGATGAAACTTGTTTTGTCCATGTTTTGTGGGCTTGGTCAGAAAAATGTCTTTGAACACACCCTAGTGCTACTTTAATCTGCCAAAAGACAATAGAATTTCAACATTGTTCTAATCACAGTTTTTATACTGTTTGCTGAAATGCTGAAATTCCTAATAGCATATTAACTCAATTAATAGGGCAAATGTTTAAACAAACTCAAATGACAAAAACATTTCCTTGATCACTGTTTGATATTAACTGATGATTTTGTTTTCTATTTAGTGGCCTTTTGTCAGATTTCTTGGTATTCAGGAGCCAGCATCAACACTATTCTCAATAGGAAATCTTCTTGCTCATGTGCTTGGATGGGGAAAGTTTTCAAAATCTGTTGAGAAACACTATATTCTATATGAGTCTTCAAGGCTATATTTTGTAGTAAGAGATGTTTATTCTATTTCCATATTTCTTTACAGTTCTTCTTCATAATCAATAACAGACCAGGAAATTCATAAATTTTCTTCCTTTACTCGTTTTCAAACCATTTTGTTTATGAGACAGAGTAATAGACTAATGTCTAAGCTCAACACCTCATTCATGCACAGATTATTTCTATACCAATGAATGAACCCCGGGGTGATTTACTTTAAAACATCAATCTGAAGGCACAAGACACAGGTCCACAAAAACTCTTAGAACCCTAACCTGTGTCAACAAGTAGAGCTTGCTTGGTTAGAGCAACTCCTTGGGGTTTCCAAGTTTTAATGTCCCTGAAAGGGCCCTCAAGTCCTTGAATCCAGGAAAGAGTACCCATCTCCACTGCACAACAGATATGAAATGTTATTTTTCACAATTCTAAGTGAAATGAGTATGAGTGGTCCTAAAATATAATATATTTGAGAAATAGCTTTTATCAACTGTGCTAACAACTTTGGTCCAATTATTGCAATGTAGCCAATATCATTCAAAATACTTTATACAAGATTTGCTTAGAGTTTAGCAAAGTCATAAACACTTGTAGAGTTGTTTTCGTGCAAAATGTCCATTTATATTTCAGCTAAGCATAAATGCCTGGTTTTGGTCTTCAGTTTTCCACACAAAAGATACAAATTTCACAGAGGTAATTACAGAAATATTTGAAGCAAGTTTTGCTTCTTTGGTCAATTCTGCATTGTCGATTTTCAGATTCATGAATAGGCTCCTCAAAATTAAAATTAAAATTAATTTAGAATGTTTTAAGCGTAAAGGGTCACTTATGTGAATATTCTCTTTTCTTCTTTAAATTATGTATTTGTAACTTCATAGCTTATGCATCTTCATCAACTGTATGCTATTATGCTTTCAGATGCCAAAAAGAGCCATTGGTTTCTTGTAATTTCATAAATTTATTCTTCACATTTCAGAAAATGGATTATTTTTGTGCAACTTTGGCTGTCATGAGCTCAATTTTATTTTGCTTTATAAGGTATAATATTTTATTATCAATTTAAGGAGGATTCTTTCCACTAATGTTATCGATATTTTTAACAAAGAAAACATACTTTTACTGATTAGTCAGATACTGCAAAGGCTTTGTTAATAAATTTTAGTTTGTTAATAAAGTTTCAAAGGCAAGAGATTTCAATGTTCAGGTTCAATAGGAACAAGAATATCTCATTATTCAAAATAACATATTTATCATTGTCATTCCCATCAATTTCTATTCTATTTTCATCCTCCTTACAATATTGTCATTTTTGTCAGCTTTGTCTTGAGATATTCAGTGATGTCTATTTTAGCATTTTAGCATTAGCAACAGCATTATATTTTACAAGCATTGTTGTTTGCATTGGACAACTAAAAAAACATTTGATATATCTCCACCTGGTATCATATCACTTATTTACCCTACCCCTAATCTTTTCCCTATTCATCACAACATCATTTATGAATGGCCCTTCCTGCATCATACCAATGAACTTTTATTATACCTTCTAAGAACAATAAATACAGAGTGTGATCAGGGCGTGCTAGTAGAAATAGGTTTCATTTTATATGACCTTACTTGTAGCTAGCTATATGATTGCCATTTTTCTGTATTTTCTATAACAGCCCAATTACTATTTATTGTTTTGTTTTTTAATATATTATGATAAATATTGTTGCTTGTTTTATACCTTATCAGTTCTGGATTTTATCATCTAAATTGATTTTATTAGGTTTTTGGGATAAATGGAACCTTTTTAAAATTTCTTTTTAGAATAATAGGAAGACAGACAGACCAGAGGTGAGTTAGAAAATTAAAACTTTCTAATTTTTTTAATCTGATCCTTCATATTTTTATGTAATGCAATAATGCTATCTCCCAGGCAGTCTCAAAAGACAGATCAACTTTCTAGTATGACTGACTTAATTTTGTCAACTTTGTAACCCAGTTTAGGTTCAAATCAACATGTTATTTTGCCTTTTGTGAACATTTACTAGAGAATTCTGAGAACACAAAAAGAGATAGTGAGAATAATTTCAAAAGCCCTGAACAGCCAAGTTTGTCTTTTTAGTTAGGCACTTTGGAAGCCGTCTACATTTGAGTGTTATTGATTGTTCAAAAAAACAAATAATGATTAAGTTTCCCATTCTCCCTTCTGCATCACTTTAAGGTGCACCTGCATATAAATTTCCAGGGGTTTCCAAGGCTTATTGAGTATAATCTAATTTGAATTTAATATATTATATTGAAAAGAGATGAAAGAAAGGAATTCAAAATTATCAGAATGAAAATTCAAAAGCAGGTTTTTTCATCTTAAAACACATATTGACAAGAAAATGTTTGCAAAACAAGAAAATGTTTGCTAGGTAGCAAAAACAAAAACCCAGAAGATGAACAATTTATAGATTATTCTTTTTTGTTTTTTATCTAGTAAATATTGTTTTGTTGATGCACTTTTCACAACCATAAAGCCAACAATCTCTTTCTGTTTCCAGCAATCCATTGGTTCTACCAGCATATTTCTTAGAATAGGAAAATTTCATTTGAAGCCCGTTTTATCACCAAATCTTCTTATTTTCAGATGCATCTTGTTTGCTTCAGGATTGGCTCTTCTTTATGCATATCACATATATACAATGGGATACATAAAATTTGATTATGGATATAACATGAAATTTAATGTTTTTATTGGTGGGTTCCATTTGCCAATTTATATTTGATAATGCACAAAACATGATCAAAACAAAGAATCTTTAAAAAGGGTTGCTAGCTTTACAGCAACTTCTATATAAAAAAGCTAAAACATATTACGTATGATTAATTATGTGAACATATTTTTCATTATGTTTCTGAAAAGACTGGGAATCAAATCAATAAATTATGTCTTTTTTTTACCCTGGTGAAGGAACTTTGACCCAGTTAATTTTTGTAGCATATAAAAAAGTTCAATCTTTCAAATTATGATGATACCCTCAAAAAATATCCTACTCGAAGTCTTTCGAGAGAAGTTAAGTCTTATAATAAGTAAGTCCAAAAAGTAATTTTGGGATAAGGAATACTGGAGAGTAATCTAAAACAATTATTGTAGTTCTTCAATTTTCTGTTTGCCAGGTGATCTTAATCATGAACACATACTTTTTCAGAAATATAAGTATTTCCACTTGAAGCAGCATAGAATCATAGAAGAAAATATTTGACAAAATCCCCTTATTTGTAACTTTATTTGTACTATCCAGTTACTTTTTCTGTTTTTAGTGTTTGCTGTTATCAGTTTACTATTTATACTTGAACTAGCTTTACTATCCTTTAGAATCAGATGTTCATGAAAAGTAATCCATATCAAATATTCTCTATTTTCAACGTGTAAGATCCAGTGACACAAAATTTTTAATTTTTCTCACAGGAACAACTAATGCAATCATGTGGTTAATATGGTGCTTTGTGGTAAATATTCCTTTTAATTTTGTGTCTTTTACAACGAAATCAACATTATTTGATATTTAATTCATCCCTCAAACATTTGTTTTTATCTTAATTCTTTTATCAGCTGGTTTTGTGAAAAAAAACAACAGGCATATAGAAATGACAATTTGCAGAATACATTATAAATGTTTATGTAATTGAAAAAACTGAAGTTCCCGAAACAGGGACAAAGAGGCATAATTTACATCCTGGCAAAAAAGATTTCCTGACAAACAGTGCAATCAATTATCTTTAGCAGGCACTTGGGAAAACTTGAGAGGCGCACTGTGGATATGACTGGGGAGGTGATAAGATACGTTTGTCATGTATTACTTGTCATCAGGCCCGTCGGAATCGGGGCCTGATGTCAAACTGTAGTATGTTTCCTTTATAACAGTGTACTGAATGAGAAGGGAAACAATGGGCAGCCCCCCCCCCCCCCAATATGAATTTCGTTCCAACGGCACTGTTGTCATTACTTACCTCATCGTGGACACAAAATGTGTTTAAGTTGAGGCTAACCCAGGACTTTATTGTTTCTGTTTCTGCCAAGCACCTGAAAGTTGTTTTCAGGACACTGAGAAGCTATGTTATAACCATAATGGTTATAAAGCTGTGTTTTATCCTTCCATTCAATGAAACTGCAGAGAGCTGGCAATCCATCTCATCCTAAATGAAAATTTGGTCATGTCTGGGACTCAAACCCCAGACCCTTGGTTCTGAATTCTATGGCCCCAGCTACTGAGCTATCCTCATAGTTAAAGTACTTTGTTTCTTAACCCCGTTTTTCAGTTGTATTTCAGATTTAGCTTTTGCACCTTGGTTCTATACATGAAAAGGGGTGGCCCAGGTTTGAATACCACCCCTTGAACACTTGATATTTTTTCGATGCACCAAGAACTTGAGAAGATCTCATCATTTTTTTTCTATCAACAAAAGCCAAGAAACAAGAATCTTATAGTAAAAATCATATGTCCTTGAAAATTTCTATTCCCTGGGCAAAAACGTCTAGCTTTAAAGATAGCTATACCACTTCACTTGCTATAAGATCTCCTCTAGATGTAGAACAAAGTATTTGTTTTCATTAAACTAATGAGTACTTTGTTGTCAGTTTTACATATCTCTTGAAGAACATGTAACTTTTTTATAACTCATACATGAAGTTTGGTTCATTGAGTTTTTCATTGTATCTTCAACCATTCCTTCCACTTTCTGCACCAGAAACGTAAAGAGAGGCCCTATGTGTGGAGATGTGCTCTGGTAGTTTCATCTGTTTATCTTTGTGTAGGACTTGAGGTACATGTTTTATTGGATATCTCATTGTTTATTCTATTGTATGACATGCATTATTGGCCATTGAATGGACTTTTAAACAGAATTTGAATAAGACTTGAAGAGGCCTTTCTGTACTGGAAGCTATTGCACAGCCATCCAATGTTCTCCTACTAGGTCCAGCAAGAAGGGCATGTCCTCTGATATGGAGGGGGAAAGGCAAAAGTGACCTTTCACATCATATGTTATGATTTCCGTTGTAGAAAAGAGAAGAGCAATCTGAAAAAATGGCAAAAGGATCTGGGGTTTGACCTCATTTTCACAACTAGAAAAATGAGACATGGATTGAATGTAATTTTAAATATTACTACTGGCAGAAAAATACACGAGCCTGTCGAAGTCTACTTGTGGCTGCCCTCACCCTAAAGCCAGTCCCTTCTCCTTGGTTGATATAACACCCCAGGTTCTCCAGCAAGAAACTTCCCAGTGACACAACATTACATTAATAATCATTTAATGTTTTAACCTTTACAAAACACCATATCTAGACATTACCTAAGGCTATCAAGTGACAAATTCAATATCATTTGATCATTTGCTTTATGGATTTTGTCAAATAAGTGATCAAACTGTACCCCAGCACCCACCTTATACATATTGCTAAACTTCAGCAGAAAGGTTGAGCCTGAAATACAATTTGCCACATTACAGCATTTTTTGGTTTTATCTTAATTGCAGTTGTTTGATTTCCCCCCATTGTGGTGGACTTTTGATGCACATTCACTTTGGCACCTTGCAACAATACCCTTCTGCTACTTTTGGTACAGGTCTGTTTTACTGTAACCTAATTTTATTTGTGATTAGATTCTTTATTGAATTGTTCTATATCTCTAGTGGAAACATTATAAGCATTCAGCTATGAATATATTAGAGTATTTTAAAAAGCTAGGTTTATCCTTTTTCGAATATTTTTCAATAAGAAACGACAGCAACATTGCACTATAGATGAGTGGTGAATGTTTATGGCATCAGAAATAGATAAAAAAGGTAAATATGGGATGATGCAATGATGCATTATCAGAAGGTCCAAGTAGAGCTTGAATCACAAAACCTTAAATAACACAAAAAAACTTTTTATGTGCTAAATCAGTTTTTATAAGTATCTAACTAGAATTTAGCTAAATATGGCTGTATTTAGACTTGTTGTTAGGCTATTTGGTCTTGCGAGCCAAAAGCCAAATTGAAGTTGTTCGATTTATGCAAAGCAATGTACTCTTGTGGCAATTTCTAACAGATAACCCAGCTTTAAACTCACTTTGCCTCTTTATTATGCCACAAAATTATCAAAAGTATAATCCATCTAAAATATCTTCCTTTTTCCACAGCTTCTTGATTGAAGATGGGAAATATGAAGCATCACTAGTGAAACGATTATAAAGTACTTGGTAGAGATTATTAGTAATTCACCTAAAACTTGTCGTGTCTGATTAATTATGATCAAACCGACTCCTAGTAGGTTTTTACAAATTCTCAATTTTTGTCTGAGGACTTGTTTTTAAATGTACAAGAGACCAAGAGAGCTACAAATTAAAACAGTGCAGAATCTTGCATAAATACATTTACAAACAATTAGTAAAGCCCTTTATTTACTCTGCTGTGCTTTATTTACTTGCACCAACAAAGAATGTTGCAAATCAAACTGAATCAGTGCAAGAGGTGTTATTACAAAAACAATATAGCATACAAAGGCTTAGTATAAATTAACAAAAGTTGGTTTGGCAAATGTTGTATCCCACGCCAAATCAAAAGAATGGATTTTCATTGCCAATATACACTAAATTTAGGTACCTATAAATGTTAACTAATGACAGAAATTATGTGAGGGCTACCCCTTCCCTTATTTGACATGACTCTGAAAATTCACCAACAATGTTGGATCATTTTGCATAAGGAATCAAAGGGGATAGGCAACTCTAATATAAAGCTTAGAAAATTCACTGTGCTTGCCTTGTTGCTAAAAGAAATTCAACTTTCTTCAACCAAAGGAAACATTGATACATTGAAGATAATGCAAAGATACGAATTGTAATATAGTGATATGCAAATTGTTGTGTAATTATGTCTTTTAAGCTAAAGAAAACTATGATTTCAGTCATTTTGACAACTAATCTTTTGTGCTTTGTACATTTTTCATTCAAAATAAAATGCAATTTCCACACTCATCCATTGAAAATTTCATTATGTGTTTTACTTGCAAACCTCAGCATACCATATACGAGGAACATTTTTCAAAGTTGAACTGAAACAAGATATTTGTAAGATGCATATTCAAATATTTATGCTCTCTAGACACTGAAGTCCAATTATCAATGATTGTGGGTACAGGATTAGTGCTATGGAGATAAACAGTTACATGAATATCATTTTTTACCAACACCCATTTGTGAAGATAAACTTTAGGAGGTTTTGATTTAGTAATGTTTTACTATTTGAAATTTTGTTTGATCAACTGTCTTGCACCAAATGGTTTTTTGTTTCACATTATCTTCCCAATTTTTCTTTTTTTTGCTGAATCTCAGTTTTTTTTTCACAATTTATACTCTGTATTGCCATAGGATGAACATATTTATGGTGAGAAATTGATGTTATTGAGTGATACCATATCATTTGGACCTCAAAATATTTGCTTGCATTCAGATTATAAAAAAAGTTTAACACTCTTTTCAACAAAGTCATCTACAAAGCTGGTCTATATTCAAACACATTTTCATCCTCCTATCAATTAGAAGTTTATCTGAGCTAGAACAATAGATTTGGAGCATAATCATTTAGGAAAGAGTTTCTGCCACTCAAACAAAGATAGCCAAGCTTTTTTGAATAACATTTGAAAATCAGGTTTGCTTACTTTTCTGGTTTGCTCACTTTTAGTTTAAAGTTTTGCCACTGACCATTCAGAATTGTGGTTCTGCAAATTTAAATAAATTGACATGCTTAAATAAAAAATAAGAACTTGAAAACTTCATTTGATGATGCCATGTATCTTCATTTAATCCCTTGCTGTTTGTGAAGATACACGGCATCATCGTTGCTTTTGGAACTTGGCCAGAAAATTTGTAAGCATCCATAATCAATCTTATATAGACGTGTGGGAATGATGCTGAAAAAAACATTCACTACCTGGTGTTCAAGGTACTATGTCTTGACAAATCTTGGTGGTATCCTATGTTTCCATTGGATGGATTGTACTATGGCTATTATATTATGTTTTCCAGTCAGCAATGAAGCACAAAATATATGCATAATAGTTTCATCAAGTTCTGTGGATACAAAACAACTGTTGCTAATCTGTGTCAATCTTATCAAATGAATCTCTAATCTCAGAACAGCTTGGCTGTATTCAAGCCAATCAGAAAACATATACCCACAAGCAGAAACCTACTCTGGGGTGCCAAAAAAACAATTGTATTTCTTTCCATTCTAGTCAAATGGTGTTCTGATAATTTGTTTAGTAACCAAAAGTCTACAAAATATTAAATACAAACATAAACTTTTATGTACATAAAAATGGTGTGCTCTGTTTATCCTAGGACACGTGTGTATATATAGTTATACATAGTATGAACTCTTGAGCCCCAAATTTTGCAATTTTTCTCTTTATTGACTACACATTTTTTCCTTCTCAGATGACCTTTTCTGAATAAGCTCTTTCCACGGATCTTCTAGCATTGACTCTTTATAGTATCTCTTAATATCAAATTTATCATCAAATTTCTAAAATAAAAATTAAAGGTGAATTGCATTTCTGTGCACCATTTTTAAACAGAAAACATCAATCTTAAAGTGGTTGAATAATTTCAAATATGTAGAAAGCATTTCACTAATCAATTCCCATTCTGAATTGTGTCATTCTTCAAAATGAAAGACAAAAGAAATAGTCTTTTCCAAAGGAACTACAGTTGTCACATTGCCAAATAAAGCAATACTACCAATCACTTCTAAACTTTTTTGTATCAGTATTTTAAATGATCTTATGTCTCTTCTCAAGATTCATGCATAACTCAAATTTCCTTCTCACTGGAATCCAGACTGGAAACTTAAATATTGTGGATGTCAAAAACCTAAGTCAGTTCTTTTCTATTTTCTCAGACTATGCTTCGGGTAATGTACAAATGCGCACAAAGAAAGTATAAAACACTACATCATAACAGTTAGCTAATATTATCTCAGTCCTCCTTTCCAAACCAGACTGTAAAGTTTTGTCTGTACAGGGAATGCATTCCCACACAAACATTAATACGTTGTATATAAACAATTTTACAAAACACACTGACCTGAGACCTGGATTTAGGATGCTTCCATTGCCTATCAAAAGAATTCGAATTTCGTGGTTGTTGATAGTGAAAGCCGGACATTGCTGGTCTTGGCTGGTATGGCGGTCGATTGAAGTGATAATTTTGGGGATTTTGGAACCCCGACCGTTGAAAGGGAAGCCGAGGACTATCGAAGTATGGTTTTGGATGTCGAAATTGCCCCTGAACTGGACTCATAGTGTGACCGTGCATGCGAGGGTTTTCCTGCATAAAATTTCCTCTAAACCCATCAGATCCCTGAAAGCGGCCGTCCGTTCGAAAATTTTGCTCCCAGTTCATCTCGTATTGTTTTGTTAACTCTCCAACGCTTTTAAAACATAAATTGTAGAGACTTCTGAATTGTCTATCTATCTTTCGGTATCCTTCGTCGACGTTTGTTGAGCAACACGACGAACGAACAACATAAACAACAACAACAGAGAAACAGAAATCGCCAGTCTCTTTTCCATTCTTTCTTACCTCGTTGCAAAAAGGTTCATTAAGCTAGGCTGCATAATTTTCTGCATTTACTTCCACAGGTTATATTATTCAAGCATAGGGTACCTCGGTAGACTCTACCCATCTTTGGTCGCTATTTCTGCCTGCAGCAGAGTGCCTACTGGCGTGGTATAGCTGATTCCAAAGTTGTCACTCTCCAGACGACAAATGAAAATCATACAAAATCATGTTTATAGCATTTGGGCCCCATTTGTACCAAAATGAGTGCAGTCAGTTGTACCCCTTGGTGAAATTGACTGCTTTTAGGTGGCAGACCCCTTTTATACAGATTGTTGACCCCATCCTCCTTGTTGAATAAAGATAAAATAAAGGATACATTATTGATATTGAACTGCCAGGTAGAGCCTGTAATATGATAAACTAGGATTGCATTCCTTTTGCCCCTAAGTTTCCTACTCCTATGAGTGAGCTGGGACTTTTCAAATCAAAAAGGCTACATTTGCTAAAAATATGATGAAAGTAATCTTGTGATATCAACGTTTCGCATATGTTAATGCGTATGATAAGTTTTGATAAGTACGAAGCGTTGGTTCAATTCATGTCCATAACAAACCGGTTTGAAATAATTAATGCAAAAGATTGATAAGGTGTTTCAGCAATAAAATTTCAGGGTGATTCAATCAGCTACTGCTATCAAGAGAAGCAAAAGATTGATAAGGTGTTTCAGCAATAAAATTTCAGGGTGATTCAATCAGCAAATGCATGCTGTTATCAAGAAAAGCCCTGTCTAAAATTAAAAAAAAATTGGTAAAATACATAAAAGGGGAAGTTACAACTAAGTTATAAAAAGGTGTTAAAAATAGACAATACTCTATGTAAGTTATACAATTATTATACAAGTTCAATCTTTAAAATATTCCTTCAAAGCGTTTTTGAATATGATATAGTAGTTTTTTGTTTTGATACAAGTGGCAGAGCGTTGAATATTTCTACTCCATTGTAGAAGATCCCTCTTTTTGAACTTTCCAATTTGACTTTTGGCATCCGCAGGTCTATATCATTACGTCTTGTTGCTTCTCCGTGTTTCAGTTTCGTAAAATAGTTAGGGAAGACATCAGGAGCAGTTCCATTTAAGCATTTGAAAACAAAATCTGCACATTGAATTGATCTCATGGAAGCGAATGATCGCCAGGCACGGTGGTTATTATGCTGTTCTCCCAAAAAGATCTTAAGTGCTTTCTTCTCAGTCTTCTTGAACCTCGATTTATTCGTCCCTGACCATGCCGAGAACACGATGCTGCAGTAATTTATAACTTTCTGAACCATGGCTTTGTACAATTCCACAGCAGCAAAGGTGGCGAGTATTGGCCTAATTCGGCGCAGGAGCCTGCTTGAAGCTTTCTTACAAATTTTTTGGATATGATTGTTCAGAGTGTGAGACATGTCAAAATAGATTCCAAGGTACTTATAGCTATCGGTATTACTGATGGCCTTCGAGTCAATTGTTATCTTTGCTTGTTGCGTTATCTTGCTCCTTTTTGCTGCTGTTCCAAACACCATAAACTCCGTTTTACCTTTTTTCGGCTTCAAGATCAGGTCATTTTTGCACAGCCAATTATGTAACAATTTAGCGTCATGATTTATAGCCGTTTCTATTTCTGTTTCGTTTTTGTCCGAAAACAAAAACACAGTGTCATCTGCATACATTATGATTTTTGATTTCTCGATCTGCTGATGGAGATCGTTTACATAATTCAGAAAAAGCAGTGGACCCAAAATTGATCCCTGTGGCACACCAAACCAGATCTGTTCTTCTCTTGACTATTCTCCCTCAAAGCTGACAATTTGAAATTTATTTGAGACAAAATCTTAGATCCATTTTAAATCAGTGTTTTCAATGCCATTATGGGATATCTTTGAGGTCAAGGATTGGTGATCTACGGTATCAAATGCTTTTCGGGGATCTATGAAAAGTGCCCCTGTGAGTTGGCCCATGTCCATGCTTCAACTTATTTGCTTTCTTGAATCAAAGCTGTGCAAATTTTTGTAATAAATCTGCTGAATTTGGCTAATTCATATAAAAAAGTTCACTTTCACCACCTTTTTTAAAGCTCAAATTAGATAACTGATGAATACTAAACACGCCCTCCGTGTTTCAAAAAATTAAGAGCTGTAAGAGGCAGCAAACTTCTCTTGTTCTACTTCTGATACCAAAATCATTTTTTAATCTTCTTTAGTGCAATGTTGATGTCGTTTCTTATTGAAAAATTTGTTGAAATAGGATCAACCTTATTTATTTCTGCTAGAGATACAGAACAATGCAATTACTGTTGCATTACCTTGAATGAGATGTTGCGTAATAAACAAGGCATTACTGTTTGACGCCAAATTGCCAGAGGCAATCTTCTATTCAA